GTCACGTCCACCACTAAAAGCATATTTATTGATCTGAAAAGAAATTTTTTAAATGAAAGCTTCCTTATGACCCTAGTTTAAAAGCGAAAAAGATGTTCCATAGATTCCCAATACACTCCCTCTTTGTGTTTCATCTTCCTCAAATGACAATCTATGAAATGTCCTCCAGTCCGTCATTGCGAAAGAAAAAAATTTGCTAGAAACACATATGACAGAGTACAGCAAAACGCCAACCAAAACACTCATGGAGCAAAAGATTCTCCTTCAGAAGGAAATAATGACAAGTGAAATAAGATTAAACATGTTAGTCTTCAGATATAATTCTTCACTCAGTAGTTACTATCTCTAGAATAAAACTCGAAAAATAAAAATTGCTAAGGTGCTTCAAAAATCTCAATGAAAAGCTCTCTCTAAAAAATCAAATAAAAAATTAAACACCTTATTTTTTATTTGTTTAGGCGTATCATCCAAATAAATACATGTGGTAGCATCAGAAGCAGCCATTTTGCTTTGTGCACCTTGCAACGCTGGTAAGAATGAACTGTATATCATCGCTGGTTTTAAATATTTCAATCGCGGCGCAACATCACGACACATCCGAAAGTAAGGATCCTGAAGATGTATATCAGACGATTTGAATTTTAAAATATATTGAAATTAATACATGGACATACATACATGTTTTTCTAGGCATAAACAAACCTGGTCAATAGCACATGGAATGATACATGGAATATCTGATCGCTTTCCAAATATTAATGGAAAGCTACTACTGAAACATGGAGCTGCTTCAATTGAAGGGAAGGCTGCTTTGCCCATTGAGTCTTCACCAGTGAATCCAAAAATTGACCGCGCCTGATTAAGTGTTACAAGCTTCCATATCTTCAAGATATTCGTGAAAAAAGACGGGCTGAAATTAGTTTTGATCAGATTGGTCGATCAGTCTGAATAAACAACAAATGTTATAATTTTTCAAAAGAAAGATTTTTATGAAGGGTCACTAATCAATTCTTATAAAAAATAAATATAACGTACTTACCACATATACTCAGTATCTAAGAAGATGAAAGTTTTATCGGGACTAAAACCACAAGCAATAATATCCTTAATATTTTCCTTCGCCATGTGCTTGATTTCATCTAATGTGTGATTCTTCCAAAGAAACTTTTCGTCATCCGTTATCTGAAAATTTGATGCAGAACAATATGTACATTCATAAAATATTTGATCATCTACCAATGTAATGATAGAGTACAAGATAATAATGATGCATTCCAGTATGATGTAAAGGAAGTTTTAGTATATTCGGGAGTATTTTTTCCGTATCCATAAATATACAAAAGACATTCAACTCAATGATCACAAAAAATGTGAATCATGTTTAAAAAAAATGTGCATCATTCAGTGATTTTAATGCAAAATTATTAACCAACCTGAATGATGAGAGGTACATCAAATACATCCTGCAACCATTTTGTAAAAACAAATGGGATAAGATGTCCAAGATGCAGACTACCACTGCTCGGACCTCGGCCAGTATACAGGAAAAATGGTTTTTTCCGTTCTAAGCGATCCAAAATTATTGACAAATCACTAGAAAACTTTATATTCAATAATTCAAAGCAGTGTGATTTATTATATCGTTAAATTTCTGCAATTAATTTAAACATATAAAATCTCTTCCGGGCAACTTTTCTCTACGATAAATGAACCCATTTATTACATTTTCCATATTTTCTGTTTACCTACTAAAACTAGTCAAATTTGGATAAACAAGACACTTGTTCCCAACGTTTGTATGAAGAATATAATAGAGACGCTTTGTAATTACCTACCGATGAGCAAAAAACAATCCACGTCGCAGCATTGGATGTGTCTTTTGGCCAATAATTCGCTCAAACCGACTGATCAAATCTTCCGTTATTCTATAGCATCCGAATTTTGCTGAAATTAGACAACATATGTTCCAAAAAGTAGCAGTATGCAGCGGTTACATGAATAATTGAAATTTCAAAAAATTATATGCTCAAATTTAATATTATCAGCGACGCATTTTCCTGCCATTTAACATATCAGGGATTGGAAATATCAATAATCCTGCATATGCGCTCTCACTTTGAGCGCATCCGTATCGTACTCTATTTTTATCAAATGGATTTCCTATTCCAAAAATTTGAACAATTAAAAGATGAGTTAAACAACCAAATGATTCTATACTAATCCGCTGCAAATACCTATCCCTTTTTTCCAAACTTGGTTAAAATCACCTGACTCAAAATCTCAGAACAAGTAGTTCGCACTTCTTGAGAAGTAAATCTGAAAAATAGTGCTAACCTATCAATTTATCGTAATCAACGCCTCTCTTGTTTGATGCTATAACATCCCACGGTGTCACCAAATCTTCATCTTTCTCCTTTTCATTCTTTTCCCTTGTCACCTCTTCAGATTCAGACTTTAACGAATCATTCACTATTGATGCTTCTTCGCCTTTTTCAACAACAATCACTCCGTTACTATCCATATATCGAGTTGTCGATATAAGTAACTGTCCTTTCTCAAACATTTCATATTTCAAAAAAAAATACTATATGTTTCTATGCATAGTCGAATGATGACTTATGAGAAATGATAACGATAATCCACCGTGCTAATTCGAGATACTTTTTTAAAAATTAAAATCAATGGACGAAAAGTTGGGAATATCAAGCATGTTTTTCAGTATTGGATTTTAAAAAAATACTGGCATCAACAGGAAACATAATACACTGCGTTCACTTCTCCGTAATTCTCATATTCTGATAAGGCCTTTAGCAAAATTGTAAATTAATAATTGATTCAACTAAAGAGAATCCCGACGGAAAACAGTAGTTATCCAACTGTTTCAAAAAATCCCGCAACTCTTCGAAAACACATAGTTTATTATTAACACTGCAAGAAAGAAAATAGAATGAACAAGTGAATCAGGAGAGTACGACGAGAACCCGAACTTCTTGACCTCTCCAGAGAAGTCATCCCACAACAAATCTAGACAAGCATCCCAAGTAAATCATATCAAATAACAACAGTTCCTCGTACTACTCTGACTTTCACACAATGAAAACTTCCTTCCCACTGAATCGGTTCAAAAAGAATAACTGCTTATTTGCTCAAAAAATATTTTGATAAGCAATTCTCATGAAAGGAGTGATAAGGATGAATTTCAAGGATACATTCATTCATTTAATATTATCCATTATTGTCATCTGATCATTCTTTGTATACCATTTGTTATCAATGATAAAATATCGACTATCAAAGCTACTGGAAACAGTACCCGACCATAGTTTATCAATCAATTGTTTAGATTATTAATTATTTACATTCAAGCTATCAATAACATATGTCCAGTTGACTTTTCTCGATTTAAATGAATCATATTTCAAATTTTTTAGAATTTAAGCCATCTTCTTCCTCTTTTATTTCTTCTTTACATTTTCAAATTTCTGTGCTTCTTTTCTCTGTATTCTAATTAAGTGGAATAAATGAATATTCTCAAAGATTGATATATGCAAATGAAATGTAGAAATGAAGGGAGAAAAAAAGTAATAGAATGATTTCTGAGCAAATTAACGAAATGATAGTTTTTGAAATTTGAAAATAGCTCATCAAATAACACCTCATTCATTCCCTACTGTTCTTTTTCATTTTCTCTTCTCACTCTCATCTCATCAAAAATTCATTCATCTCTCAAATTTTTTGATCTTATCAAATTGTATGTGAAGGAATTAAGAAAGCTATGCGAAATGAACCTCACTTCATCCAATGACCTTGACGGATGGAACAGCGTTCATACTCTATCATCCATTTGTGACAGTCAAAAAAATTTATCAGAAAGTTTGAAAAGATTGTTATCTTTCAATTTTGATGCAGTATCGAAATTACTCGGAGACAATAGAACGATAAGCAAGCATCCCATTCCTTTCCAATCATTCGATCCATTGACATTATGGCGGTCAATTTCACTCCACCCTTTCAGCTCTAGTAAAACCCAAATTTGCATATTAGTTATTGCTCTTCTAAAGGAAAGCATTCTAATTGGTTCAGTTTTGTTTTCTTTAAATTCAATCATTCTTTTTCATCCATCAATACAATATTGCTAATTTGCAATAAAGGCGAAATAATTTCATATGGGTATGTTTCATTTCTACTTCATATACTTTCTTCATTTTTTATTAAAATTTATTTTTGTGTTATTTGGAAGTTTTTCATAATCAATATTTTTATAACGAATGATATCCTAAAATCAGCTAAGCAAAATTATAGTTAATTATAATTATATTACATAATGTTACAAAGTAATCAATGATATCCTAAATCTAAAATCCAACGGCGAGGGATTTCTTCTATTAAGCATAATTACAATTAATTATAATTACATTACATAATATTATAAAGTAATCAGGTAATCAGGTTGATGTACTACTTTAGTATTTTTGTTTCCTTTAGTATTTTTTACTACAGCTTAGTATGCTCCACCAATAACTATGAGAAAAATGATATTGAAATTATATGTGACAATCATTCTGCAATCATCATTAGCGATATAATTAGCGCCGAGGAATGATTGCGAAACTAAAAGAGATTTTTGCATGTGTGCAAATTTTAATTATAATTTATATAAGTAATGAGATGATAAAATGGAGACTTGATGAATGGGTAATTAGGTAAGTCAGGTAATGAGTATTTTAGAACAACTGAATCATCTAGTGAATCAATGAACAAATTTTCTGAAATATAGGTATATATTTTTTGAATACAATTGTTCATCCAAAAAAGTTGAAGAAATTGCTTGCTAATATTTCATTCTTCTAGCGAATGCAACAGCACCACTTCCAGTTCACTTAACCTTCGACATTTCGAAATATGCTAAGCAGATCAATGACTTCATATTTTCAACTAATCAGAATCGCATTCAACCATTCTTGCCTTTCTTCTCAGTTCCCATTACAAACCAATATCCTATGAATCTAATTTCGACTAATATTACATTTCCAAGAGGCTTATGTCCAATTTGTGGCAGGATATATGGATCAAGCAAAGACCTTCAGGTTTGCTCAGATTTTGATTTTTTAATTCTATTAATTTATTTAACTTTAATTCAAGGAATTTTATTTATTTAAGCACACAATGACATCCATTTTCTTTATGTAAAATTGAAGGTTTAGATAATAAGTAAGGATTCATAAAAATTGATGGATTCAGGATCATTTGATGGCTCATCATGAGCGTAAATATGAATGCGAAAAATGCGCGAGGACATTCGTTTCAGAGAAACGTATGCGAGCACATGAAATTAAGAAACATTCCGGTTAGTGGTCATAATTTTGAAACGGAATTTTTTAGATTCCAAAATAAAGACTTCAGCAAAATTTCATAATTTTTGAGTATATACTGAAATAATTGTTGATGTTTAGATCATCACTTTTAATTTTAGCCCATTCAACCAATTTCGTAAAAGAAAACGGTGAACGGAAATTATTCGAGTGCAATCAATGCGATCGAACCTATGAAACTTTTTATAATTTTAAAGAACATTTAGCCAAGCATAAAGGCAAATTATTTCGATGCACAATTTGCAGTAAACATCTATCTGGGCAGAGTGCTTTAAGCAGTAAGCTTTGATTCATTATTGGCTGAAGTATTTTTTTTTAATTAATTTAATAAGTCTTTGCAGTTTATATTGTTTCCTAGCTCGATTTCAAGCATGAGATTGGATTTTGCTTTTCAAATCATAAATTTTCAAATTTAAATTTCAGGACATGCAAAAATTCATGAAAAACCTCATGAATGTATGATGTGTACTAGCCGATTCAGTTCAGCATACGATTTAGACTGCCATTTTAGCTACTACCATTCGACCATTAAACGGTTCAAATGCTTTCACTGTAATCGGGTACTATATAATTATTCCGGTAAACTACGCCACGAACGACTATGTTCCTTGAAAACTAATGTTTTCCAAAAAACAATACCTCATCCTGAAGACATAATCCGGACAGAATCAGGAAATGAACAAGTAAAGAAATCCAGTGATAACGAAGAATGTAGAGTCATTCAGAACCATCCGACTGCTGTTAATTTGATCTCAGAATCGAGATTTTATACGCCCAAAACACTACCTGAGAATTCGAAAAGGCTCATCCCATCCTCTAAATCCAAACAAAGGAAAACATTTCACATTTGTGATATCATGCATGACATTCCAGGTTTTTCGCAATAGCTCCTAAATATGGAAAATGAATTTGCTTTTTTTCGTTTTACTTTACACCTTTAATTACATCAAAATAAATTTTTCAATATTGTTGAAAATGAAAAATTTTATACATCTCCTCTAAATTCATAGAGAGAAGGTTGAGATGAAAAAAATTGATAGCAATGTGCAGTGCTATAGAAGCCTGAACGTCAATTAAATCACCAACTTTATGCCAGTTTATATAAAATTTTCCTGATTTTTCCTTTTCTTAAAATTTTTTCAAATTTTCAAATTTGACCATTGAATTGTTACTTTGATCTGAGTTGCACAAGAAATCGAAAAACTCGGAAACTGTAATCATCATTTTGTCCAGGTTACAGTAACTTTCAAAAGAAGGTACAGAGTAAAGAAAAATCTTGTTGCTTGAGGAAATTCGCTTTTTTTTAAAAAGTATGCAAAACAAATTAAATTATGTTAAAAGGGTGATAAGACCTCTTAAAATAAGCTGAATAAAGAAGTTAGTGAAAAGTTTTGATATATATTTCCCTATCTTTTCATCTACTGTATTTCCTCTACAGTTAACCGGAGTGTATTTCAGAAAGATTTACCATCTTTTGTAAAAATCACATAGAAATGCTGAAGAGAGATTGTCAGATTAATCACTTGAATATGATGTACCACTTATCGTTTAAACACAAATCGCAAAATATTTACCATCGTATCAATTGAAATTCGCATATAAATCCTCATTAAACCATTTCCTCAAAATTCGCAAGTTCCAAACTTCATTGACATCACGGATTTGTTCAAACCTTTTTCTGAGAAAAATCAAATAAAACAAAAGATGTCAATTAAAAAGTGTTATTTTGATGCCCCTTACCTTCTTCAATCTCATTCACATTTTATTTCATTCAAATGTAACGGAAAAAAATCGTTTATCGATAATGAAAAATCATTCTACTACTTTTATCGCATATTCATTTTAGTGTGTGCTGACTCATCGCCTAAAGTAATATATTAAAAAAATGATACATTATTATCTACCTTAAAAAATACAATATTTCATGTTTCATCAGTTTTAAACTATGCTAGATCACCGCATATAATGTGTTAAAAAAGTTATTTTGGAATAGAAACATCTCTTAACGCTTAACTTTGTATCTTACACTAAGGCAATCAATCGTAAGCAAACAAATTGAAGATTAATTTATTTTCATATGAAAATGAATTTGGCGTGTCCCTACTACATTTGAAAAATACTATGACAAGAAACTATAATTCTCTTCTCAGCTGTTTTACTCTACAATAAGGAAGAAATAGCAAGGTATCTGGCCAGAATTCATGAAGTTGCAATGTTACCAACCGCTCCAGCTCTTTATTCAATCTACTTAATCATGAAGAAATCCATCTTTGAGAGATCAATCCCAATTATTGAAAATTTTGAAGAAAAAAATGTTTTGAAAAATTCTGCTCATTTCGCAATTCGTTAACAACAGCGACCATTACTAGCTTGAAATCCAGTTAAAAATAGCGATGTACATAGTTTTATTTCGCAGGACGAAAAAAATGAGGATCAACGACTTATTTTTTTTCCATCCAGTATTTTCTCAGTCCGAATGGACGACACTATGCACGTTTTACATGAACTAATATGAGATCTTTTTATCAATCTTAATTACTTCGTTAAACTTCTTAATAAACCCTAATCAAGAACAGACATTTTTAGATAACTTTCGGGATATGAGAAGTCAATCTAGGCTGATATTCGCGGTAAACATGTTAAAATCTTGATTACATTTTATGACCCTGCAACTGATTTCTCTCTCATATCTTTCCTTTCTTGGAATACTTTTGAAATATCTCATAGCAAAACATTAGAAAATTATATGCATAAGAACATGTAGAAACAAACAATAACTGGTAATATACAACCGGAAAATTCAAATTTTCATGCAGATGAGTTAAATTTTTAACAAAACTTACAGAAACAATTCACTAAAAAAATCTAACATGAAACAATTTTTTATTCACTTTTCTCCCTCCTCTAACAACAAATATTCTGTAAAGAAATCCTTTCAGTAACATGCAAGATTAATGCCGGTACATCTCTACTTTCCTAGCTTTTCTGGATCTTGTCTTTCAAAGTCCATACTTTCGAATGTGATATCAGCTTCTTCTGTTTCCATTGTGATCGGTTCTGGAACTCCCTTTTCTTCTTCAGTTTTTGCCTCCTCAAGTGCTTTCTCTGCTGCTTCAGCTGCTAACCGTGCATTAATTGCGGCCTGAAAATGAAGCTACTAAGAAATCTGGTGCTAATTAAATTTCGTTTTGAAAAAAAATTCTAACAGCTGGCTCTGCATTGATTTAAATAAAAGAGTTAACATGAGTTAGGGAAATACATATGAAATACATACATGTGAAACAAATCGAAATACATATGAACTCCCTAAACCTGTATAAATTGTACTTTTTAAATACCTGTTAGCGAATCGAATCATTTCATGGCCCCTCACCAAAAAAAATCAGAATTACCTGACGAGCATCGAAATAATCCTTCATATGCGCTTTATAACTTTCCTTCATTTGTTCCATATTGCTCAAGTAGAACTGGTGGACGAAAGTACTCATGTGAACAGTATCTTGGATTTCAATTGGTTTAGATGACGGAGGTTGACCATTCTAAAATAAAACGACATCTTCGTTAAGAAAAAAAACCTGCTTAAGTTCTGACAGCATTTATGTTATTTTGAAATTAACTTAAAATAGTTGAGAAGAAAATTATTTTAAAAAAGGGAGCAGAAAAAAGATAGTTTACCTTTCGATTCATTAAATATGTTTCATGAGGAATTATCATCAATTTCTGTGGATATTTGCATAGCTGAAAGAAAAAAATTTTCGATAGCATATAGGGAGATTGAAAAATCTAATGATAACTGGAAATTTTATGATTAGACAAAACTTATAAGAAATTAATTTTTCATCTTTAAAATATAAAAATTCATACTCGCTGAAATGCAGTTGCAAGCTCAAGGCAATTTTGGAACAAATTGACTCGTCCCACCACATAAAGGCCCAAACGTGCACGAGAAAGAGCCACAACCAAACGACGAACATCCCTAGAATTAAAGTGTTGATATTGCTTATTAATAACAAAACATGGAAAACAAGGAATTTTTCAAAGTGCCTTAAAGATAATAGGGAAATACTAAGACGGATTCTTGATCCGTAATTACCTTATATGACCTATGTTTCTCGTCCTTACAAGTGAAAGAATGATGTAATCATTCTGTTGCCCTTGATATTTGTCGACTGTTGAGATCTGAAAAATGACACAAACAGTAATTATATTTGATCACTATCAATTAACGTTTGATGAAGAGTTATACAAACCCAAGTGTACCATTTCTCACTTCGCGATTAAATAGAGTATTCTGAAGCAGTAGAAAGTTTCTTTAATCAATGTATGCAGAAAAAATAACATAATCCCATAAAACATAAGACAAAAGTTTTATAAAATTTAACAAAAAGAATTACTACACTAAGAAAGCATTCGAAAAATGCATATTCTGAGGGCCGAACGAACCTTGTGTGGTATTCCAATTAAAGGATTTCCAGCACATCGTGTCTGCACTACATCACGCAACAATGATGCTTGGCCATTGTATGTTGTTATAATTGATATTTTTTCTGCAGGATAACCCAAAATGCGCATATACGTGAACAGAGCTACAGCATATTCCGCTTCCCCGAGGTTCTAAAAAAATTGTGTTTCAATTGAAGACTTCCCAAAGCGTAAGGGAAATATTGAAAAAATAATAAACCTGATAAAAGTATGGACTCGGAGTTGTTTCGCCAACACCGTTGAAGTCCGGAACGTCGATAAGTTGATAATTAAATGCGAAACCAGAATTTGCGCGCTGGAACTCTGGAAGAGCTTCAACGTGTGGTAAGTTACCCAACTGCTCATACCGCCAGTTATAAAGATGTGCTATTCTGAAATTTTCCATATTAAGGGTTGCACCCGCTAAACTTGAAAACTCCACTAAGAATTACTCTGATAATTCTAAGAATATGTGCCCAAAACATACTCAGCTCTAGCACGGCCTTGCTGATCAAGCAAGATATGTGGAACACCAAGTCGAACAAATCTCGCAAACAAACTCTGTTCCATATTAGAATATTTTTGAAAAGCAATATTTTGAACAACCGGTGGCAGCTGATGATGATCACCAATCATGATCCATCGCTTTAATCTACTCCTGCCATCCTGTGGGTTCTGAAAATGCACGGTATTTTGTTACAGCGATGGCAGTAGAGTAAGACTTAACAAAGCAATCTAGCACCTTGAAAGACAGAAGTGAAAAAAAGAATTTGAAATGCAGAAATATGCCTCGTCTATAGTCACCTGAAGTAGAAGTGGAATAAATGTTTCAACTTCAAGAATTTGAGCAGCCTCTTCCATCAAAATATTGTCGTATCTGAATCCAAGTTCTACCAAATCTTTTCGTCGTAGAGCCGCATGAGTGCAAGTCATAGCAATAATTTTGGCTTCCTTCACCTGAAATCTTTGGAATAAGCATTGCTAAATCTGATTTGATCAATAAAAACATCCCAAATGAAAATCAATAAATGTGCACAAAAAAATCATTTCAAAATTAACCAAAAGATAATCCGTACGATCTCTGCCTGAACGAAGCAACTCGAAAGACCTGAATTCTTCCAGCTGAGTAAAAATACTACGAATATACCTCCAACAACCTTGAGCAATTTCCCAATCTTCTTCAAAAGAAACACCCTAAATTGTTAAGTTAAAAAAATGACAACAAATATATGATAATTAAGCAGAAAGTCGCAAGCTAGAAAGGAATCAACATCAAACTGATACAGACGCGGTGCATTTTAATATATTTCACAAAGCTTGAATTGCACAAAAACATATCAAAAATTGTTCGACGCGAATAGTAAACATTTTTGACCTTAAATAGAGGTGATGGAACATCGACAAAATATCTCGTAAAGGGGAAATGATTAGCAACTGCTTTCGCACTCGGGTTTGGATTTGTTTTCGATTGAGCAACATCACTTTCAAATTTTTCCCAACGCGCGAATACCTGGATGAAAGGCATCAACGTGACAAATTATGTATTTAAAGTATCACGATTCAAGCATTAAAATTCAAAAAATTGAAGATATTGAAAATCATAAAAGATATTTACTTCAAGATCAAGAAATTATTAAAGAAAAAGAATTAACAATAGAGAATAGTAAAGACCTGATAAAGGAAAAAATATCCAGCAGTTTCGCAAGTATATGAGACGTCACCTCCAACATCGAGAGCTTCTTGCAACTTTTCAACCTGGATGACAAAGCAGTTTCAATATTCACCCGGAAGAAAATTTTAATGTTTGTAAGTAGAATTTAATATAAGAAAAGTGGCTGAAGCTCGGATAAATCCAAAATCAACATTTTGTTTTTACTTTATTTGATCATTCAATTAATTTGCTTATTCTTACACCTTTCTTATGTTCAAAACGCTATTTTTCACCTCTTTCAGGAGATCAAGCCGTTTTTGAAGAACATAATTTACACGGCCATACCTGCTGAAGTCTTTTTCTGTTTCCAAAGCTTCTTCACCATGACCTAAATTCAATATGATTCAGATATCAAACCATATCAGTAGAAGAATATCAATGTATACAGCAATTTAAGCACTCATAATCATGNCACGGCCATACCTGCTGAAGTCTTTTTCTGTTTCCAAAGCTTCTTCACCATGACCTAAATTCAATATGATTCAGATATCAAACCATATCAGTAGAAGAATATCAATGTATACAGCAATTTAAGCACTCATAATCATGAAGAATGTTTTAGTGATCGTTAGGTCTAAATCAGAGACATGAATTGAGGAAGTCCAGAACTCCATTCAAAACATCCATCGTTATAAAAAAAAATGAATTTCGATATGAGAACACTATGATAATTTATAAAATAAGGAAAATTTTTTTAAATTAAACAACAAATGACAATAAAATGATAATTAAAACACACCTAATCGAAGCAAATGGCGTTCATCAACATCCAATTGTATAATTTTCTCAAAAAGTTGATTAAGAGCCTGGTTAGAATGTGTCACAATTAGCGTCCGCTGTTCAGGCCAATTATGATAAATATTAGAGATTATCTGAACTGCTACATCTGTTTTACCTGTACCTGGAGGGCCAACAACCATTGTTAAACCAGGTTGCATGCCTGCTTTGATTGCTTCTACCTGGAAAAAAACATCATTTTTGATGAATAAGGACAGAAAATTTGACGGGTGCAATACTACTGTTTAACACTACTAACACTTTTTAAGAAAAGCACCTGTGCTGGAGTAAACTGTATAGTATTTTTGCGTGGTTCAACATGAGGATAGGGTCCACGGCAAGGTATTACGTGCGGTTCTACAACAATCGATGTATCGCGTACGGACGGTTCGAGACCATGTTGTGGTTCTAGTTCCTTAAAAGTCAACCTGAAAGTCATACATTTTCAGAAAACAGCCTAAAAAGAAAATTCGTGCCAAAAATAAGTTAGCTATAAATAATTAAAGTGTAGCAACATACTGACAGGTTAGCTTTAACTTACTTGACTCAATAAAAGGTAATCAGCTTCTCTAAATGCTCCAATTTTCTTCCATTTCTTTAAATCATAATTTTCTGAAATTATAAAAAGCAAACCTGAAAGGTGGAACAAGATTTTCATCACTTGTTGCTGTTCCTACAATCTTCGTATTTGGAAATGATGAAATCAAGTGCTTATATGACAAAAAAGTATCGCAGAAATCCACTGTAGGTACCGCAGTATTCATTCTGAAAACATTTCTCAATTGATGTTGCGTAAAATTTGCCTCGTAATACTTTACAAATAGAGAATCAGGAAGTGATTACGATTTGTAATGGGCCGCATTTGGTTCACCATAGCCAAGAATGAGATCATGTAACCAATCCGGGACTACAAATTCTGTATTCAGTAACTGTCGGATTGTTGCAAGTACCGCTTTGAAATTATTTGTTTTTGGATCACGACGAATGAGTAAATTGAACGAAAAATAAATATTCTGAAATGAATAAATAATGTTGCTGCTATAATATGAAAGTTTCGTGTGCACATAAAAGACTCGCTTCCTTGACTAAGTATAAAAAATCACTGACAGATTCGTTTTAATTTATAAAATTTTTTATTTCAAAAGAAAATTCAAGGCATACATTTATCGCATCTTCCTCTCCTTCCGTATCCAAGCGATACTGATTTTCATCAAGCCATACTCGAAATTTTCTCGTAAGTCCTTCCAGTACCGTCTTTTTCTCATACGCAGCTAAATATCATATCAATTTCTCGTTATTTCATTTCAAGCTTTTAAGAAATTCATTAAAATCTAAAAAATATAAAAGATATCTAAATGTAGTGCTTTCATCAAAATATAAAGCTGCTTCGAAGTTAACACAATGTATAGGTTCCTCATCTTAACAAGAAACGAATAAATACTTGAGGCTATTTTTGTAAATACTTGCGGAAGCTATTTTTTTGAACAAATCAGTAATTTCAAGTAATTTTTGATGAAGAATAATATGATCTCAGCAAATAAAGTCATACTTCTAGACCTAAAGCAGTCTCTATCTGCAAATACTTCAACAAAAATATAAGGAAAGCATTAGAGAAAATCAAGCACAACTAATACCATATTCCTCAATAACTTTTCCTTCCGAATCAAGCATGCCTTCGATTTCACATCCACGTACCAGTGCAACATCGATTTGCTCTTTGAATGGTTTTGTAATATTGTATTTCGTACCAACTGAAGCTTTCGGTCGACAACGGATCAAAAAACAAACATCGTGCTTTCGAAGGCCTAAAACACTCTGTGGCAGATATTTCGTTGGGACTCAACTTTAAAAAAGCACCAAGAATACAACTAAGAGTGATTACTATTACTACTGAATATCAACATTAGAAAAAATTCAAATATTTCGGTTTCTGATAGAAAATCCGCTTCATTTTAAGAAGCTTTTTTAACGATCGCATAATCACACATTGAGTTAGGATACAGCTCAGGGCATTTGTCAGAATGTAGTTCCACTTAATCCACCTACTGTTAAAATTACCGGTAATATGAACATTTGATCTTAGTCAATATTAGCCAACATTGTAAAAAGTTTAAATATGAAAACATACCCACCCACAAAATACTAAGATCGACAAGATGCTCGAAATTCTAGTAATATATTTTTGGTGTAATAAACATCAACTTAAAAATATCCACAAAAATTAACCTTCCCATTCCGCACGAATGTCTGCGCGCCGCGGTAAATTGATCGTCAAATCTGCTTTAACAACAGATGGGCTTTTTTCACCAATAAGAGGTTTACCAACTTCGACAATCTGAAATGATGAAAGCTGATCGTTAACCTGCTAAAAAGAAAAAATCAAATTTCAAGTATTATAATGTGTCCAAGCTGGTCGCTGGCTTACTAGAACGAAAGACTCAGATTCCAAGTATTATAATGTATTTCAAATAAAAGAAACCTGAAATTCGACTAACGGCAAAGCCATTCGTGCCCATCCACCCCAAACAGTTTCATTTGGATTAGACTCATGTGCCCATGGCTTCAAACGAAATAATGCATCCTCGATATCCTGGCGGATTTCATCTGAAGCATACTGGCATTTAAATATTGCTCCAAAAAACATACATGAATTTCATTTTTTTAGTTCTTAGTCATTTTTAATGATGCCAAAGACTATAACATATGGGATGCAAAACGGTGCCTAGCATTAAATTATTGAAAGCGGGAAATTTTATCAGAACAATGATAAAGGTTGAGGAAAAAAAACACCATTTATTTGAAAGAACACTTAACATAATCACAAACACAATTAATGTAATGACCTACATGTTGATTCCATTTGAAAAAGATTGAAATTGCGAAGCAAATAGTCGTGGAATGTCAAAAATTGAATGTTTAATTTATTCAATGCAAGCACACCTAAAAATATCAAGAAAAGAGCAATGAAGTATTCGAATCTCGAGAAAATTCAAAGAGCGCTGCTACTTAAATTAGACTCCAAAAATTATTAATTACAGTAAGTTTTATATTCGAAATGATTACTTGTGGACGATTTTTAAATAAATCTTTTGCAAAGAAAAATCCGGCAAATTTATTACGACTCCCCTTGTCATCAGAAAAAATAAATCCTAATTCCTAGTTTCTGTATAACTTTCTGCAGTCACAACAGCATTTAGCAATTGTGCACAAGTTAAAAAATAAAACTCACCTTCACCCGTATATTGGTCGTACGGGACAAGATTTTCATCCCAGATAACTTTTTCGGTTGGATAAAGCGGCTGTTCATTGAGCTGCTGTAACTGATTGATACGTCGTTCACAACGTGATGTCTGAAATTTGTAAAAATTATCCCGAAATTAGAAATCAGAATTTCTATTTTGATAGAACTACAACATCCAATTTGAGTTAATGATATTAATCCAATTTGGCATGTGAATTATCCAAATAAGGGCACATAAAAAATGAAGGTACCAATATTGTTAAATTTCTTCACTGAAAATTTTACTCTCCACTCAAAATATATTAAAGGAATAAATTAATCATATTGAAGAGACACTTACAATCATTTCGATAAGATAATTCTTTTCGTAACTCGATGAAGCATTTAAATCGAATTCTTGTGAAGGTACCAAATGCAGATATTCAGCAAATTTATATAGTTCAGATTCACTGAAAAAGCACAACTCATTAATTATTTAAAAACAATTAAAATGTGTAAATGAAGAGACAGAATCTTTCGAAATAAGAATAATGCTCTAATTATTAGAAGTTTAAACTAAACAATGTTATTTCAATAAAAATCTCCTGATAACACTATAAAAAACATACCTCATTGATGAAAATTGCTTTATCAAAGCTTTCCTTGTATCAACGGCAGTAACATTTAACAAATAAAAATCGGACATACTTTCTCTAAAATGAAAAAAAAGAAACTTATTTGATAACTGCATTAATAAATTAAAGGATTCAAGGAATTATAATGAACTAATAAATTCAATATAGCGACGCATCGAGAAAATTAGCTCATCCATTCAGTCTGTTCGTCGACTAAAGCGCTCGCATTAAAAACACTTAGCAGTTGTTTAAGGCTCATTTATATTATGATCAGAAGTTCAATTAATCTAGATTATCAATTTAAGTATTCAGAACCTGAAATATTTGAAGGCAGCTTTCTGCAGTTTCATAACATGCGTGTAGTGCATTTCAGACATCTGAAACAATCATTTCAACATAAGCAAAAAAAGCAATATTGATATAAAAATTGAAATACTTGAGCGATAGCAAGAAATTTTCTCAAAGTGAATATGACGTACTTGATTATGAGTAAGCGGCTCACCGGTGACATCATCAATCTCGAAACGTGAATAAAACCTCAACATTGTGACGAGCTGACAAAACAACCCTCCAACTTCTGTTGTTATCAATGAAGATAGTGTACAATTTACCAATATGTTACTTGCATGTAATATAGCATTAAAGAAACGCCTAAAAGATAAGAACTACAATCAGAGATTAGTTGAAAATATTTTGAATTAAAACAATGCACTTTTCGATAATAAGACTAGATTAAACAATATAGAAAGTGACATTGTTGGGAGAGAAAAGTATCCATAAAATAAGATAAATATTCGCTCAACGATTCAATACAATTTTGTAATTATCTAGCGATTAAATTTTGACTGAAAATCTTATCCTAATCGTAAAGACACAAAAACAGGAAGTTTGTAATATTACGGGAAAACCACTAATGCGTATTTTCATATGCCATAAGATCGATGTTTAAAGAAATTCAATATTTCAAGCACCGGTATCATCAACATCATCTACATACTTCTCAGTTTCTCTATCGCAGTGCAGTAACAGTCAAAATCTAAGCCATGTATTGATGTCCAGAATAAGACTAAATATAGTCTCTAAACTATCCAGATTAATCTACATTTTGCAAATGGTAGTGGAAATTTAAGATATGATGATAAGAAAATAATAGCATTTCAAAGTCCGCTAAAATGTCAGACCTTGTAGTCAGTAAAGCTTCCAAATCAATAAATAACTGCAAACAGCGTTCCAAAAAGTGTATGCCATCAATTCCCACTTCTTAAAAAATTGGTTAATTTAAGAAAACATAGAAACAAAAAATTGAAGAATATTATATACCATAAACACAATAAAATTACCACGAATTCAATAAAGCTTCCAAATCTATAAATAAAAACGTTTGTTCAAAATAATATATGAAGCAAACCGTTAGATTCGTCATCAACATCTGCCAGCGTTTGCTTGAAAATTTGCAACAAATTCCACATAAATGTACGTTCAAAATTTAATAATTCCTTTTCTTCAGCTGTTTTTGATTCTGCCTTTGTTTCGAACTTATTCCATATCTTACGCAATTTTGGGTTTGCTTGGAAGAGATCTTCTCTTTGAGTCTAAAAATTACAAAGTGGTAGATAAATACATATTTGGGTTCATATTTTTTAAGAATAAATTTAAAATATGTTAGCAACACTTCAGACAATGAGAAAAGTAAAGTGTAAAACCAACTGGAAGCAAATTGGACCACATTGTAAGTGAAATTATTTTCATCACCTCCTTTCTCACCAAATCCACTTCCTGTAAATTCAAGCTAGTTATACACCCTGATGAGTTAAATTTATCTGCAATTAAAAATGAAGAATTTGATTTCTCTCTTCGACTAACAATTTTATTAAATACACGTTGTACCAACTTTCACTAGTTGAAAAAGTTTCATGATCTTACAAATCAAATTATTCTATTAAATATATTGTTAATAAAATTGTTAAGTAGTATCTCCGACAAATAACAAGACAGAAAGAAAAACTTGCTACTGAATTGAAGCAGTTGATGAGGAATGTAATAATTGCGGATCGTTCTAATAATGAAACTTGTTCAACATCCAGTACAAGATGCAAAATTCTTCGAAAGAAAATCGGAAACTGAGACGAACGATCAATGATGCACTGAAATATCACAACTAGAACATAAAATGTGCTGTAGCAAAAAATGGATTTGCTCTCGTATTAAAATAATCTTTTTTGCGGTAACTCATTTTATATCCTTATCACATCGTTAGAGATGCAGAAATAAACTTTTCAGTGCTCTGGAGAACTAGCTTAATATATGAATCATGAACTGAGCACTTTAGGTCATATTATATCAACAAATGTCTAAAACTTGCAATAAAGGAAAAATGAAACAAAGATATAGCTTACACGCCAAGCTGGAATCCTTTCCCGAAATTTTGCGTTAAGCATAATTACGACGGACATAACATGCTGATTACTGGCTCTCTCTGCATTAAAATTCGGCCACAGATAACGCTCGAGGTACTGACTAAAATTTAAGCTTAGGCCGATATCTTTTTTCCTTTAGTTTATCTTAAATAGTAAAATCAAGAATTGTAACAAATAGAGAGCAGAGAAGGGAAACTGAGATTTAAAACAATTTCTTATAACAACAAAAGCACTGCGAGGAACACTGACGCTGAGTCCTTTTAGAGATAAAATCTGAAGATAAGTTCGAATAGGCGAAATGTAACACAAAGCCTATAATGCCTTACCTACGCTTTGTATTCATTTGAAAAGTCTTAAATAAAATCAAAAAAGTAGTAAATTTCCTATACTAAGAGCTTTCTTCGATATTTCATTGAAAATAATGAAGCAAACCTGAATTCTAGCACGATAACTTTTTTTTGCATGAAAGAACTTCGCACTAATTCATTCTCGTAAATTGAATCAATTAAATTTGGATCAAATGTACGACCGTGAGGCGCATAAGGGGCCCAGTACTGTCGAGCTATCTAAAATTTAGCAAGAAAGCATTAAATTGATAAAAAAATGTTAAAGCCTATCATTATATGGAAAGTCACTAGTCAGATTTTCACTCGGTCAATTAGTCTAATTTATTGGTGACATTCCTCAGACCAGTCCAAAACTGGAATAAAATATAAATTTTCTTAAATCATCAGTAGATCTTAATGAATAGGCAAAATACTAGGACGAAGAACAATATTTTACATCACGGAGAATCAAAAATATTGTAGATGAAAATCAAGCTGTGCTTCAGAGAGGCATCATTTCCTTATCACAGAGAATGTTTACAACTGATGGAGTCTATCTCTATGAACAAACTTGGTTTGAATCAACCATACTTACCTGCATAAGATGATCCTCCTGGATAGCTTCCGTCGTAACAACATTTCCAACTACCATTCTGTGTGTGAAATTATGCAATTAATATATTATCATATGCCTGAAAAGATTAACAATTTCAAATGACAAGAGCATAGATATTTCTTCATTTTGCAGATAACAGTTCAAAATCTGACTACACGTATCTGTGGGATTGAGCTATTTGATCCGGGAGAATTTAACAAATCCTAGCCGCTCATCTCAAAAAAATTTCACAACTTTCCTACGTGTTCCCAATGGATTAATCTAATATACTTCCATCACAGAATATGATACGTTTACACTTAGAAAGATTTATTCGCTCCTCCGACACTTACTACTTTCAATCATTGCTAAAGCTATCACCCACGCAGTTTGCGTGTTTCTTTCACTCTATCATATCCATTTATTTCGACACTTTCTATATCTTACTTTGAATCTCTCTCAAGGTTTTTAATTCCTACTTTTATAATATTTCTATATCTGAGCAATCTTTTACTCCTCTCCAATATTCATAATATTAACGCTAACAACAGTCTACCCCATCAACTTTCCTCCCTCCAAAGGAATGCAAAAAGATAAGAATGTTGCAGACAGTGAACGTGATCACATTGACTTCACCACGATGCAACAATTCATCCCAGCAATTTGGGATGAATCGTTTCATCGTAGCGAAGTTAGAGCATTAAATTTCTTTATGGGTTTTAAAGCAATATTTCGCAGAGGAATTTCATTGTTTGCCATATTTTAATTGGTCATTAGTCATCGACCCATTACTCACCACAGATTCCATAAATTTCCTTGCATGATTCATAACATTCACAAATGCACTGATAAAATGCCTTAATTATATATAATTACGTGACCTATAATTCAACTCAAAGCAAGTGATCTGAATTGTGCGTTATGAAGTGAAAGTTGAAAAACTGCAACTTTTTTAATGCAAATAAATTTGTCATTATAGAATCGGTGGAGAAGTTTCACTTTAAGCATTCAGCGAAAATTATAATGAAATGTCTCATGCTGGAATAGCACTTCCGAGTTCAATGCTGCAATAACATTTCATTTATTTCCTTTTCAATTTCCAATTCTAAATTCTTAATTTTCGACTTCCTTCCTTGATCATAATTTGAAGAAAATTTGAATGAAAATGGAAGTCGAAGATAGATTTCATTTTAAATCATTCACTGAATTCATGGAAAAGATGATAATATGGGAAACTTTAAGATCTCTTAAATTTAAATACAAAATTACTATACTATATATCTATACCTACACCTATACCAGCTAATCCTATACCCCTTATATAATGAAAGCCTGATTTTTATATAAATTAAAACACTCAATGAAATGATTGAATTTTGGCATGAATTAAAGCATCATTTCTATAAACTAAAATTCTAATTCAATTTAAATTCTTTTAATTTATTTATAAAAGCATTTATATAATGATAGCCTTATTTTCATATAAATTAAAATATTCAATTTATCGATTTCATTCGATGTTATGCTAAATTATATCAATGAATCATTGTTGCCTTCATTAATACCATCTCTATAAATCCTAGAATTCTTTAATAATTGCAATAAAAATGAACAATCAATGAGATGAGCAATAAATTGGTTGAATATGACGTACTTCTGAATATGACGTACGACATACTTCTGAATATGGCGTATGATGTACTTCCATTTATAGCTTCTGACGAATTAAATTATCACCTGCAACTAAAAATGAAGAATTTGATTTCAGGAAATAAAAGAAAATGAAAGATACATCGAGCCTCCTTTTGTTAGAGATTTTAAAATCATCAATAATGGATTCTAAATAGATCGGCTTGTGACGATATTGACAAGAATTGAAATTTTCTGAAATTAAAATTTCGAAAAGTTCTTCAAAATTTCTTATCAATGATACCGAATAAGTGTATTATCATTTTCTTTGATCATTACTAGAGCAATTAGCAGTAATTCCCGTACAGCTATTGGAAATACTTTTGTGTGATTTCAGGAAATGATAATTGAAGAAGCCTAAATAATTGAAGAAGCCTAAAATCTACCAAATGATTAAAAGCAAATTTATAAATGAATTCTATTTGCTTTTAATTAGCAAATGATTGAAACACATACATTTTTGACATCAAACTTCGATGATAATCGGTGTACAAGTTGCGTTGAAAAAAATATCGAAATGCTCTATTTCATTAAGTTAAAATTTCCGGTATTTTTCTCCCTTTATTTTCAATATTTCGTTTTCTTATTAAATTTAGAAATTTCACTGGAAATTTTTATCATTAATTATCTTGTTCTTTTTTCTTTTGTTTTTCCTTACTGGAATTTAAATAATAGTTAGGAAGTTGATATCGGTATTGGCTGCTCAGAGATTTATGCTTAATCATGACTGCATTATTAATGATACTGAGAGATACAACCATATCTGTTGAATCTGTTGAATTCTAATACTTCTAATATTCTAGTAGTCAGGAATCTTTCTCTCTCTCTCTCTCTCTCTCAAGCAATTTCTAAGCTAGGGGTAAAAAATTGAAAAAGTTTTTGTTAAAAAAATTTTTAAGAATTTGTTCAGAAATTTATTGGCAGATATTTTAATGTTTAATTAGTAGACATAATATGCATATTTTATATGATAATTTACACTTCAAAATCCATTCTTTCATTATACAACTCATTTTTCTTCATCGAGAAAAGCCTTAATTAACTTCACTCAAAATCATTAATCCCGAGAAAGGCCATAATTTCATTCTATGCAAAGCTATGATTACAATGATTAAACATCTGCGCTTTGAGAAAAATGAAGCCTGCTGATTTCATTATCGTTGATTTATTTCTTCAGTAATGATTGCTGAGAAATGAGCGAAATGATTTTAAAAGAATTCTTTTAAAGAAAAGTGGTTATTTCAATAAATGATCATTCATGTTCATCAAATAACAATTGCTAATTGTTTAATTAATATTCGATTTTGCTTTATTCAATTAGTTTAGTGACATGTAAGGAAGGTGGGAGTGCAAATTTTCATTTTTCGCAAATATCGGAAGAAAATTTTAATAATTTCAAATAATTGTTTAATCATTTATTAGAGTTATTAATAAATTTTTCGATACTATTTTTCACCTTTTAAATTTACACTTTTGAAATATTATTTTAATTTCAGGTAACTCATTCCGTTCTTCTTTAATTTCATTTGTATTACTATTTCAACCTAAATTTTATTATTAATTTAATTTTAATATCATTAATTATTTTTATTCAATCCGAAAAAATGATTCATTCCATTCTTTTTTAATTTTATTTGTATTATTATTTCATTTCAAATGCCAATTTACTTCTTTTGTTTCAATTCATTTTCTTTTGAAATATTACTTTAATTTCAATTCCTTTATTATTTTATTTAACCGAAAAAGCAAATGACTCATCTTATTCTTTTTTAATTTCATTTATATTATTATTTCATTTCAAATTTTAATTTATTTCTTGTGTCTGGAATAAGCTAACAATAAATCAAAAAGATTTCTCAAATGAACTATAAAAATTACACATTTCTGATAGATTGATTAGTTATCACCTTAATCACTACAATATTTTTGTTTGATAGAATGATTAGTTATCACCTTAATCACTACAATATTTTTGTTTGATAGAATGATTAGTTATCACCTTAATCACTACAATATTTTTGTCTAATAGATTGACTAGTTATCACCTTAATCACTACAATATTTTTGTTTGATAGAATGATTAATTATCACCTTAATCACTACAATATTTTTGTTTGATAGAATGATTAGTTATCACCTTAATCACTACAATATTTTTGTCTAATAGATTGACTAGTTATCACCTTAATCACTACAATATTTTTGTTTGATAGATTGATTAGTTATCACCTTAATCACTACAATATTTTTGTCTAATAGATTGACTAGTTATCACCTTAATCACTACAATATTTTTGTTTGATAGAATGATTAGTTATCACCTTAATCACTACAATATTTTTGTCTAATAGATTGATTAGTTATCATCTTAATCGTTGAAATATTTGATAACTATAATAACTTTTCGCCTTCTTTCTCATTCACATCAATGAATGATTTATTTATTTTTAAAAAATGGCTTCACATTTTTTTTGGTTCACTTTTTTTTGTCTTCGATAATTTATATATCTTTTGTTTTACGATCTTCTCATTCAATTTATTCATTTTGCATTTTCTTTACAACTCTTTTATTTCAAATAATCTAATGCTATTAATTTTCTCATTTTCAACAATGCTACATTTCTCACGCCAACAAATTATAATACAGATTTTCTTTCAAATATTTATGTAGGTATTAATTTAAAAATAATTGAAATAATGATATCATCCGAATTTCAAGATATGATATCCTCGAATTAAACAATTAATATAATTAATTAATATCATGATGATAAATACTGATAAAAGTTGATTTAAAGTATTTCATTTTTCCTCAACGATATTTTGCTTTAGTTCTAATTTCTAAATCCTCATCATTAATATTTATCATTAATATTTACCATAGTAATATCATCGATATTTATCAATGATATCAATGATAAATATCAATTACGAAAATCGTTTCTTCTTCTTCTTCTTGAATTATCTCGATTTAATTCCTATGTTATCATAGAGACGATCAGTAGTCCTAAAAACAATTTTCTTTTTTTTAAAATTTCAACGACATTTTATTAAAGTTTTGTATATGACCAACATTTTGCGTTCCAATTTTAATTTTTCACTATCATTGGCGGCTTTGTCTCATCAATATATCTCATTTTTTAATAGAGAAAAGTTGATTAAAATCCCTTTAATTAGCATTATTGAATATACTACTGTAAAACTTATGTTGTCTTGTGCCATTTAACCTTTGTTGATTAATTTCAATTTTTTTCATTCATTCTATACAGCTGTTGATTTTGCTATAGTACATTATTATGTTGCAACATTTGCTATCTTGTTGAATTTCTATTTAATCATTAATCATTTCATTGATGAAAGAAACACATTCTTTTCATCCTTTTTTTGCGTTCAAATAATTGTTTGTGAAAATTTCAAAAATTCAGTTACAGTAAATAACGTGGGTAAAAAAATGGTTTGCCCAACTATAATTACCATCTTATTACTTGGAATTTTACGGATACAATGGTCAACAGCAGCACTGTCAAGAAGTATCTGCATTGATCGAGTATCATCATTCATTGCAACAATTTGTAATGGATGTTTACGAATTACTTTACTACCTTCACGACGATACAGTGAAATCAGTAATCTAATCTGTGTTCTTTTTTTCCCTTCATTTTCAAAAATTAAAAGTTATTAAATTAGCATTCATTAATCAAATACAATCAAATACAATGATCAAATTCCAACAATGATCATCGTACGATAAAATTTTTTCAAAATTTTTAAATGTGAAAAATTTTCAATAATTTTACTTCTTTTATAATTATTTTTCAAATTTTCAGCATCTAAAAAATTTTCTATTTATAATTTATAATTTAATTTAGATTATAATTTAATTTTTTAATTATAAGTTAATTTTTTTATTTTAATTTAATTTTTTATAATTTAGAATCTTAGATATTTCATAAATCTATTTATTGCTTATTCAGTATGCTTGCGCAAATTGTTATCTCAATTTGAATTTTATCTAAATTACTACAAAAGGAATCTTTTTGTAATAATTTAAGGACCAGATACTTTTTATTGCAAATGTTAAAAAGATTAAGTTTCAGATACTAAAAGAGCTATGAATGCAGAGGAATTATTATACGCCCTAGCCGAAAAATGTTGCTATGAGCAATGTTCCGTATCGTATCTTCGATCGTTCTGTTGCAATACCCAAAATTCAGAATTACTACTTTAATTTCTTCTTTGTTATTTCCATCTGATAAATTGAACTTTTTATCTTACGATATCACAAAGAAGATAATTTAATGAATTGTGAATGGTTGCATAAAAAAGCTATGAATTTGAAGAATTCATCATGAGATTATCATTCCAACAATTTCGTTTATTTAATCATCGAGCAAATATTTCTGTTCTTTTAAGAAGTTAAAATAAATATGATCTAAGGCATATATATGTATATCTTCCATTGAATTAGATTTCTCGTATTTTACAATATTTTTGAATTTTCAATCAAATAATGATTATCAAATGCCAAAGGTCTCAAACTTATTACAATACTTAGCTTAGAAATAAGAATCATAGTAAAGAAATAAGAATCCAAAAAGTAAAACCAAAAATTTTGACAGGAGAAAGTTTTCATCATTTGTCTCCGTATACGAACTATAATCCAATCACTCATTTTCTCAGTAACTAATTTCAAAAATGTAAAAAACATTTTTCACAATAAATTAAAGTTTATTATTGCAGATTTCACATAATCGATCCGCTTGCAGATATTTAAAATAAATTTACTATTTAATCAATTCTGATATATCTTCCGTATCTTATTGAAAAATTCCACTCCATTATATTCGAATTTCTAACTACATCGTTATTGGTCTCAATATTTTCATAATTTGCTTTCAAAATGGTGTGCCCATACAGAACTGTCTCGTTGTACAGGCATTTACGATACGAAAACTTACAATCCAATGCATGATATCTGTACCGAAACTTTCAGCTTTTAATATATCAAATATTTTTTGCCGCCCCAATACGAAGCTCTCAACGATAGCTATAAATAATCTAATGGATGATCAAATGCAGTGAAAGAAACAAATTCCAAAATATAATGAGAGTTAAAAATACTAAAACAACGCAGAAATAAATAATGAGTTCCCAAAATATGAAAAAACTGATATTTCGAAGATGTCTCAAGGCAGCCATTTATTGAATTTTCAATAGTAACACATTAGGAAATTTGCTTCTTTTGCTGAATGATTACGAAGGTTAATCTCAACTTTATTTAATTAATGTAAGAAAATAGCAACATGTCGGAGGAGAACTAGTTCATCCATACTTCTAGCAAATAAGTGTCAACTGCAAGAGAAAGCTGAAAAACTTTTGACAAATCAAAATGATTAAAAAAAACAATGAAAAATAAAATGGCAATAAAAGAGACAGGACAAAAAATACATAAGCGGTGGATAACAATGGATTAGCCCCTTTAATTTATGCATAAGTCCTCCTTACTTTAGTTTAATTATTCCTTCATATTCACAAATATTCCTTGCTGAATTAAAAATGCTTGTTTAAATTAATTATAGAATTTTTTTTCATCGTATATAACATTTCCCATTTAATCCAAGCAATTCCTATCTACAACAAAGAAGTGAAAGCCCTATAATTATTCTCTGCTTTCTGCTGATATAGTCCTTCTCTTCGACATCGATCCTCATTGCCATCTATTATTATTCCACTTCAGCAAAATGATTCCGTCGGATAACGATCGTGCTGAGGAGATGGTTTTCGAACAAAAATTTTCGTAATTTGTTAACAAAATAGTGAACGATAACAAAACAGGCAAAATATTGAATCCAAGCCCATTTCAAGAGTTCCAAAAGACCTGTTCGGTAAAACAGTTGTTGCTCAAGAATCCGTATCGATAGGCGTAGTACGAAATTATTATTGCCAGTTCTTCCAGGCGTCCATAAAACTGACTTTCTGAGAAAAAAAAATTCATCGTATAAAAAACGTAATTAAATTCGTGGGAAATAATTTGTTTCGTTCAAGCTATTAATTACACGGAATGTATAGTCCTTACAAACTCTCTGAGACTTCATCAATGAGATCATAAACTTGAAGCAATAATTAAGAACTATAGAAGCTATTTCTTTTATTCAAGTTGCACCTCCTCCACTTATTGAATATTTCTGCCATCTCTATTCCCATTTCTTTAGTCATATATAAAAAGCAAATGCGAAATTAGCAGAAACTAATTAAATGTAGTGTTTGCCATTCAAGATACAAAAACTAGGAAAAGAAATATGATTAATGAAAAGATCTTAAAAAAGGATTCTAAATTAATTATACTAAAACGCTGCAGCGTCCTACTTATGATGTTTTTAAACGTTTAAAATATGCATCATTATGACTATCTTCCAAAGAAAAGATAAAAATTGTGAATTCTATTCCCATCTTTTACATCTCGACATAACGGAGAAATTTTTTGCTAACTTCTAATATTGAAATTAAACGATTTTTTGCTACTCCAAGTTGAAGATCTTCTTTCTGGTCGAATTTGAGCAATGGTAGATGTAAACTACAGCAAAAAATCGAGACCGAAAGAAAGGTACTCATTATAGAATGTAAGCATATTCACAGACGGTAGAATAATGCTTCTATTTAGAAGGAACACAATAAACAGAATAATAAGCAAACTGTAATTAACAAGTGAATAATTAAATATTACATAATTCAATGATATATCCAACGAATTTCGGTCCAGCTAATCTAAAATTGGCTATTTTGTTATCAATGAGTTTATATATAAGCGTGTCATGGTTCAGAAATAAAGTAAATCATCGAAGAGATAACACAAAACAAGACGAGGAATCGGTAATATAATTAAAAGCAAAAATCTGAAACAAACTCACCTTTTCAAAATTGTTGTGAAATTCCTATAAGAATTACGTGTAAAAATTGCGGCAGGGTTATATTGAGTTAAGTCGAAACTGGACTCATTAATTAGCGCCCCTCCACGGTTTGGATCTCGGCCACTACTCCAGAGTGGAACCGCTTGATCCAACCAAAGATCACCAAAAACTGTTAACGATGACGACATAGTAGTATGTTCCAAATCATCAAGCACTGCAGTTTCCATCTGTAACTTTCAAACCTCTTTCGGTTTTAAATCAAATTTGCAAAAATTCTCAACCATCCGCTTTGCGTCCCTCCAAATTTTAGAAGTATGGATACTTCGAGCTGGGTTTATATTTTTAATGGACAGTTAAAAATGATTTTTTATAGGGAAACTTTCCCATACATTCCTATAAAAAAAATGAAGCTCACCGTTTTTCTACTAAAGAAATAGAAATATTTTCATCTTTAAATACTGCTTGTGTAGGTAAGAAAACACATACTGAAAAGCGCGATCTTTGATTAAGTTGATACTCAAACAAAAACATATAAAAAATTCCATAGATTTTATCCTTTCCTTCGATAGGAAAAGTGACGTTTAATTCGATCTGAAAAAAAGTAGTGAAATAGATAGAATAAGAAGGACATCAGATGCTCATTTCAATACATGATTTTTTCGATGCCGAAATTATGTAAATAGAACAGCATTCTAATTTTTAGTCAATAGTTCGATTTTGTTGATAACTTTCCTGCAGAAAAACTTTTAATCTGTATAAAAGTTAATGCAGAACTTACCAGATCAGGTTTTCCATCATCATTGAAATCATTTTCGTATTCTTCCAGCACCGCTATTCGTACATGTGTTTCTTCAGCATGATTAAGCAATGGATATGAACTCCATACGTAATAATTATCTGGCATTTCCCCCTTTAGCAATATGACGAATCGTTGTTTGTAATAAACTGTTGCTTGCTCTCGAAATTCACTGAATTTTTTCCAAAAACCCTAAAATTAAGTGATGATCTCAGGACTCTCCCACTTATGGACGAATTATAGTAAAATGACAAAATATTGAGTAACGACTTTAGGGAAAACTTTTCAAAAAGTTTAATAAGCACTATAACATGATAAACATCCCAATGCTAAATAAATAGAAATATAACTTTCGTTAACTATAAATCTTAACAATTAGAATGATAAAGTAATTAACAACCAAATCATTCTTTAGTCAATGTCCCAGCAATTAATATCTTAAATTGTTTATAAAATAAAAATCACCTGTGTTATGAATGTAACGAACAGTGTGAACAATAATGTAAAGAGAAAAAGAGCAATGTTGCAACAGTAAGCTGCTGAGCATTTTGAAGCCTTATACTTCCATGTATACGGCTGAAAACTAATTCGTTTTTTGACAAGGAATAATTCCAGCGTAATAAGCAACAAAACTAACTTTTCATAAAATAAAAAATCTTACCAAAAATCTATATTCTGATATTTGTGAATTGCTTTTAGTGTTATTTTAAAGCTACGATTCACTAATAATGTGAACAGTATTGTAAGGCCTATTTGCCGAAGCAGTTACGAACAGGTAATCGAGCAAAGCAATTACGAACAGATAACAGGTAATCTTTGCAAGCTGTTACAATTGCACAAATGCACTACCAATATTTATAGTAAGGCCTGCATAGTATGATGAAACAGTGATAAGATCTGTCCTTCCAAAGTAATTTTAAAGAAATAATAAAATTAACCTTTTCATACAGTGTTTTGTATTTCATTTATCCGATAGAAGTGGAAATGTATTTTTGATATAACGCTTTGAAATGTCAATGCTAGCAATAAAAACACAAATCCAAGATATAGAAGCAATGATAAATAAGAGCCAACTAAGGATGCAGGAAGTTTGCTTTTTGCTGTACACCATCAATTTCCCTAGAACTACAAAAGATATTTCAGTAACTAATAAAACCTTATTGTTTTCAGTAGTTTTATTAATAGCTGATATATTTTCATTACTGTCTTCACCTTATAACATATAATTAGGAATTATGTAAAATTTGAGCATTTCAAATAATCAAAGAGCTGTCGATAGCTTTCTTCGAGTTAATTAATGCAGAATCTGCACAACTCTTCCGAATCAACTTAGGTTTAAGCAGCCATTATTAATGAAACTTCAATTTGGATTAAAAAGAAATAGGGCTAAATCTAACTCAATATCAAGCAATACCTATTGTTATTAATCTTCTGAAATCAGCAACAACTGTTTGTTTAAAATGTGTTGCCATGGATACAAATATCATCAACGATATGGTGACATGTACATTTTACAAATATCCCAAGATATTTGTGAAACACGAGCAACCGTACACTTGAATTCGAAAATAAAACATACTTCTGTGTAAATGCGTATAAGCCGTCTTCATTTCCAAATTTACCGGTGAAACAATGGCAAATTTTAGGAAACTTCGATCCTGATAGTTTCTTTCAAAGGAATCTATTAACAGTAGATTTCCTGTCCACAATACCGATAGATATTTACGGATTTGTGTCATAATTTCAGAATATAAATGCCACATCCTGATATGAAAAAACATCTTCGGCTTGCTCTTTTCTATCAAATATTAGAGCGAAACAAAAAACAAAAAAAAATAAAAAATATTCGATCAGCATTGAAATTGGATTTTATCATTGAAATATTTTGCTGGCATAAATAATTTATTCTCCTAAAACAGGCACAAATATAATGACAACGTGAAGTGATAAGATTACACACAACAATAATTTCGAAAAATCTGAACTTCGCTGCTCAAATAAAACTCATAATATTGTAGTCAATAAAGAACACTAAAATACAGAACGGATGAAATTTTTGGCTATTTTTACTAAGATTAGATAGAATAAGATCAGCTCTTTCCCATAAAAATTAACTGATCATCAGAATCGTACATTAGTTCCACAATGTCATCCTGATGAAGACAAATCCATTATCAAGAAAAAACTTCATTCTTCATTCCAGATTAAGTCTGTGCTATGTATTGTACATAAATAATATATTCAGTCATATGTTAAAATGCCAAGAAAATCATATAGGTTTAATATTAATTAATAATAGTGAGCCGAAAAATTGGGAAATGATATCTTGAAAGCCAGAATATAAGTAAAAGAATTGGTGCAGTCAAATTCAATAACTTTTCCTTAATTTAGAAGTTGACAATTTGCATCTTCGGAAGATCTTTCAAAACCAAAAAAACATCCATGCTAAGCCCTTGAGTCGATACTAAACTGGTTCAGAAGTGACATCCTGGAAAAATATGAACTGAAGAGAATGCATAACATAAACTAAAGAGAATATTATTCTACTGAAACTAGAGTGTAAGATAACAAGCTGATAGAAAAGTTAGTACAGATAAATCTGTTATCCCAATTTTTGAAGAGTCAGATTTATTTTATACAGACAATAGAAAGATATATTAAGTGAGTCGTTAACATGATTAGCTAGCATATTACTACTGATCGTTCACAACTATCATTTCAGAAGAGTTATGGAAAAAATCATCAATTAGAATGATTACGATCGAAAAGACCTAGCACTGGAGGCCGTTCAGAGGGGCTCACTTCTCTTACTGTTTGTTGATTATCGGAAACATCCAGTATAATCGGTAAATGAGTCCGCGATACCGATTGACTTTGCGTCGTTGTATGACTCACATCGGAATGAGCTGAATCCATGCGCATTGCGCTCACCAATTCTTCCCTTAAATTTGCATCTTCCATTTGAACAAAAACAAATTCCCGAAAAGTCACAACGATCAGAAGAAAAAACAGAAAGGATATTTAGAGAAAGAATGAATATTATACTTTTGTGTATTATACTTTCATATTTATCTCTTTTCAGATTGGCAATATCCGCTACCAATAAAATCTTCCCTTGAATCTTCCATTTAACAAAAAAAAATTCTACAAAGTCAAAATGATGAAGGAAAAAATTCCAAAAAGATATTCCTACATGCTTATCAGATAACGTCCGAATCAAACACCATTTTTTTGATTATCATGAGATACCACTTTCCTAACCAAGTTATAAAATATGAGAGTCTTATGAAACTCATTTATTATGGATAATAAATATTGTACCTTCATCATAATGATTTCGAATTAAACATCGTCAAGGATTTTATACCACATTCCTTATCAGTTAATAGTAGGCATGTATTATAAGCATTACACTACAGGTTAAATTTATGCAAGAAAAGAATGCAAAGGCATAACAGTTCAAGAGCAAACAATAATGCATACATAAATGCAAGATTAGTAAAAATATCTGGCTCTGCTGCATATTGTTTCAATAAATTCAAGCTATTATTAATTAATAGAATGAGACCGAATAACGTAACTACCAAGGTTAAATAACAATTCATTCCCTACAGTATCAATTATTGCTTTTATTCACAACAATGATGTCGTGCTTGAAACAACATTGATTAAACTCGAATTCTTAACAAAATTCAAAATTATCACAAGCAAAAAAAGTTAGCCAAACTCAAGCAATTGCTCGTAAATGCACAACGTCATCGAATAAAAAAAATGGAAAAATGAAGGAAAGGAACAAATAACGGAGATACAACGGAGAATGCTTTCGCAAATCCCATGCTTTAGCAAAAGCAAGCCTAAAATCTTATTAATCCCTAACAATCTTATCTAAATTTAGTCGAATTTCATTCTTTTTAAAGTCTAGATCGCCGAATTAAACGTCACAAAGGTTAGAGCCATGCCAAATATAATCAGATTAAACAGACCACATCATACAACATCATACACAATACCTTGTATATCGGACGCCATATCGTGCTCGTTTCGTCATTACATCCATATTCTCACTTCTGATATCAATTTTTGTTAAAGAAATAAATGTAAAATTATAAAAGTCTTCTGAAATAATTTAGTAATTTTACATTCAATTTGCCCTCCGAAAAACTTCAACCACATCTTAATGACATTAAAAGCACCGCGGACTAAAAGCTCAAACAGTGTTAGTGAAGAAATTTCGAAAAATTCAAAAAATTTGCGCACAACTTCCTAGCATGTAAAAAATTCGGAAAAAATACGAAGTAGGCAATGCATAGTTAATATATTTCAGAGAAAAAAGTATTTTTAAACTACTGTCAACTCATCTCATGCCTTGTTGTACTCCAAAAATTTGCTGAACTAAAAATGGACACAAAGAACGATGCTAATAAAAAATGGTGTTTAGAATATGTCTCTAATGTCAGATGTAGAAGCCAACTAAGCCCTTTGTTTTAATTTTCAACTATACGCGGCAAATTATAAGCAGGAAAATGTCAGCAACCACCATAAGAACAATCAAAATAAGACATAAGTATCACAGGTTTCTACAGAATTTCCATGTTTGATATTTTTGCTACGAGATCTATCAACTGTCAACTACTTTGTTCCTTAAACTTCAAAACAGCTCCATATCTTCCAATTTCACAGAGTTTTCAATTAAAAACAACAAAAGAAAATAAACTCACCGGGTTTGCAAAGCGGATTCAGAATCCAACAAATTCTCGTATGACCCACAAACGCTTTCAGTGCTATCCCGTTCCGACGCAATCCCATCATCAAAATGAACGGATGGTGCAGAAGAAGCAGGAAATACATCATTTACTTCTGCAATATCCATTCCAGAAAGACTTTCCAGTATCCAATGGTGATCACCTTGCATTTCTGCCTAAACTTCAAAAAATAATATTGCTACAAATCTGATGCTGTCCAACGGCTAAAAGACTAAAAATTTTATGTAATTCTGATATATCCGATAAAGATTATCAGAAATTATCAGAAATCCTTTATACAGTATTCATATTAATTCCTCTATAGAATAAGATTCAATAGATCAATAAATCAATGATGAATCTTCTCGTAACACAGCTACAGAATGAGTGACATCAAAGAAAGAACTACACATGAAAACTGAGATACATTAAATTATTTCTGATTCTAAGTCCTTGAAAACTTTATTCCAACTATTGGTTATTATTAGTACGTAACAAGTACATTTCTCCTTTTATAGAACTGTGGTGATGTTAGATATTTCATCTGACTACACCTTCAATATCATAAAATAATACTGTCCATTCAAACCTTATTTGAATTGAAAAAAAATAACGTAGTCATTATAAAAAACGACAATAAGAAAGTTTGATCGATTGCCGTTTTATCTCCAATCTCTACCATCATCATTCGGAACCCCTACTAACACGAGATGAATTTCATCACTTGGCATTATTCGAAACTTATTGTGCATCCACTGCTTGAAGAGTATTAGGAAAGAAATAACCTCTGCAGCAAGCCGATCTTTTTGCTCTTGCATTGAACTAGGAGAAGTAGATACTGCCAAACCAGCAATGGGTGATATTAGGGAAGGAGTCTCAGCAGTATCCAAAGGTATTATTGGCTTCCAAGTTCGAAGCGTATCAATTAGCAACTTCAATAATGTCCAATCACCCAAATTTAACTGCAAATTGAAAGCTTAATTTTCAATTCAACAAAGTTATCATTATAAAACGACCAAGCACATTCATCTTAATTAATTCATCTTTTCTTATTAGCAAACTGAAAACAGAATTACAACGAACTCCATAGGAAAATAGAAAAATTGAAGATAGATTTAAGAAGCCTGACCCAGGTCACTGATATTAATAATTAAGATAAATATATTTGGTAAATAAGATGAATATGCTTGGTAGTTTTAAATCTTAATCAATAATAATATGTTAGGTCACTGATATTATTAATTAATTAAGATGAATATATTTCGTAATTAAGATTATCTAGAAGTTGATAAGCTGAACGAGTGGTGTTTTGGAAATTTACGCATTTTTTCAAATGTTTTTGGCAATTTTATGATGCAAAGATAAGCAGAAATGCTTCGCCTGCATCAGTCACAGTTTTTAAAAAAAATATGAAAATATTTCTCCAGTTCTAAGCTTTTAGATCTATTACTCAGTTTGGTAAGAATCGTAATAAAAATGTTACAAGATGAATCATTTTTGAAGAACACGGATCGGAACCTGAGCAATCCTTGATTTCAATTAGGAAAATAGCAAAGAAAATTTTGCATATATTTCTGAAACCAGTTATAAAACTTAAGTAAAGAAAACCTTAAGAGTTTCTTGCACTTCCGGTAAATCACATGCTGACAAAACAAGACCAGTAAGATTGGATGCATTCATTTTTTCAACAATAACACTTATTCGTTCACTTGAAATATCTAACTTTTTCACCAAGTTAGTTACATCTGACAACTTCATTTCAACAAGTGGTACTTCAATTTTCCGCCAAGTATCCTTATCCTGGAATGTGAGGAAATGATACAAAAACAGAAAATGGTATCAAAAATGATGTAAAAAACTGAGAAATAGTTGAACATAAATGAAATACAAAATGAGGTATCAGATATCAAAGGTGAAATATTTTTCATATTAAAAAACTTTTCAAATTTACTGTCTAAAATTTTGACTGGGTCAGAATTTTTCGACTAGAATTTCAAAATTCCGATTTAAATTTGATTAAGAGTTTGACTTGCTTTGGTAAAATAAAACAATAAATGGAGATGAAAAAAAGTAAAATATACCACTTACTTTAAAAAGATGCCAAGCAGGATCGGAGATTGCTAAACCAGGTAGATTGGATGATCGGCTAACAAGTGGTTTAATCGGTTCTGCCGTAACAATACGACATTCTAAAAGTAAATGTTCACATTTTGCAAAGTTATGCAGAAAACCAAGTTATGATTTCAAAAAATTATTCGCTATTGCTGCAGATGCTATACTTTTTTGCATTAGAATTTTTTTGAACAAAGGGGAATAAATCAGAAGCTTCCCGCAACAAAATCCTATGAAAAATAGTCTTACCTCTGATGAGCTTCCTAAGATAAGGATCCAAATTGGATGTACACGGGACAAAACGGCGGACGTGTCCGACAGTCAATTGCTCCGGACCAGTCACGCATGCTTGTTCTAAGAAAGACTCGAAATTATCCGGATTTCGATCCAGATCTATTAGTGGATCCTTCTTCGGTATTTGTTGCTTCAGATGGTTGTAAAGCTGCAAAAACCTACAAGATATCTACAATAAAAACCAGAAAGGTGCTAAATGTGTGAAAAAAAAACCTCTACAAGCGGATATGAATCTTGTGAAATATCCAACGCATGATCAATAAGCCAACACATTCTGGATGGCCACTGCTCAATTAGACTAACCCAATAACCAAGTGAAACCCACGAAAATTCAATTTCAAACGCACGCATCAATCTGAAAAGAGAGCGAATTGGGAAAAGAGTTACAATATACAATATAATTAATAAAATAGTATTTTTCTTTGTTTACAATTTTCATAAATCGAATGCAAATAAAAGCACAATTTGAAAAAACAATGCTGAATTAGTTATATCTCCACTTTTTAAACTTAGGATTATTTTTCACTAACCGCCCTGTTAATGCAAGCGCGTTGACAATGCGTTTCATTGACCTTGGATTCATATTAGAGAAATAGTCATCCGCTATTAACGAATGACTTAATCCACGAGCCCCTATAACTGTCACCTTCCTTGATAATTTCCCTTCAAAACCATCTCGTAAAGATATATAAGATCCTGAAAATTCTTATCTAATAATTTCGAAGTTTAAATTCACCAAATTTCATCGCCACTTGCATCAAAAGAAGTTTGTTGCGTTAACTTTCAAAAATATTATTTTGTATTTGATTGCTACTGTGCGCTTATCACTAATTTAAGGTATAAACTTTATATCTTTGGTGTAATACACTTCGAAATACAGAAATACTAACCATGGAAAGTATCTTGTCGCTTGAATCTTTCCTTCCAATCAGCTAAGCTTTCTCTTTTATTGCGCAAATTTATTTGAAGTTGTCGAATAGCCGAATTGTGTAGATAGAATGGCATATTAATGATGTTCTGAATCAATGAAAATTTTAAAATGTTTCATGACATTTTATCACGTCCATTAAACAAATGTCCTCCCAACCCTCTCCAAAAATTATTTCCATCTTTATTTCTTTATTCGTGCTCATAATTACAATATTATTATATGCACCCTATTTGTAATTTTGCATATCATTACTTTTAATCGTATTATTTTCAGAAATATTACACAAAATCAGCTACGTTACACTTCAAGAATTCTCGAATTATTTAAACTTCATGCATTAGAGCATCAATAACCTTTAGATAATCATGTCCAGTAAGCCCAGTTCCTACTAATGAAGAATGCATGCTGTGATTTACAGCTGAAATAATAATATGTGGATCAACAGCAATAGTTACTACAAATGGTCGATCAGCATGAATGCAGAATAATAGCTCTAGCGCATCTAAGGTTTGTACCATACGTTCCTAAAACAATGATTTAACTTGATTTTATCTTTCCTATTTAATGTCTTATATTAATTTTATATTAATTTGTCACTGATTGAAGCAAAGAAAAAACTTCAAATATAGTACAAATACAGCAAGAGCACTATAATAGAAATGAGACTTATCACAACCATCATGCTCTATAAAACAATAATTGACAACGCTAATGGTTTCTTTGGAAATAAAATTCAAAAAAATTAAAACTGATATAATGAAACTGAATATATGAACCAGCTTTAAATATTTTCATTACAACATGCATTGTATTATATTAACTGTAAAAGCTACCTGCTCACAATTATCAAGGCCATCAACTACAACAATTAACCGAGTTTGGCTGTTTGTGAAAAAGTCAAATGAGCGAATCATGTTGGCCAAAAGGTTGACCTGAGAAAAATTTAAAGGTTGTATTTTTCAAAAAGTATGTCAGCATCAAATCATATTTGATCTATTTGATTAAAAAAAATGTTATAAAATGGTGAAATACAGTAAATTTAAGGTTGAAAACATCACAAACTGAAAATGAAAGAGAACAAAAACACGAAACATAAGTGGAAAAGATTCAAAGATGGAAGAAAAATAAAAAAGAACGTTTACCTGATGTTGTAATTTCTGCATAAATCCCTCAAAACGCAGTTTGTTGATTTTCTGTGCTACCATATTTATGCGCTTCTTAGGCATATTGACAAATCCATAAACAAGAACGAGATAAAGTGGATAATAAATAAGCACTACCGCAATGGCGAAAAATGATACGCAGCCAAATAAGTAGCTGCAAATTATATTTAAATAAGATCATCTTGCTGATATTTAAACGCAGCAATTAATTTACTTATGCCATAAGAGATCTAATTTAAGCCAATGAAGATTAGCTCAAAATATAATGAGTTAGTGATATTTAAATTTTTTAAAACCGTGCTTTGAATAAAGGAATTATCTGTTCGAAGAGAGAAGAACATTAAACTTTCATGAATTTCACGCTCAAAAAATCATCAAGCAATTATGAGAGACGAAAATAATTAAAATTATTAAAAAAGAACTGCTGCTATTCAAACCTATGTCTCATTTAAACTATAAAAAAATTTATTTATACTGTCAATTAAGAGTGAACCTAGACGGAAGTTCCATTCCACCGTAAAGCCATAATGAAAGCAAAATTAAAGCTGTACTAATTGAGAACAAAAACAATGACACCATCATAGTAACCGGTACGCCACATACTCGTCGTGTTTTTGGTTTGTTGCCATGGGCTAAAATAATAATGACTTTCTTACTAATGAACGAATGCCAAACTAGTAAACAAATGGCGAAAGCAACCGTTTAACTTCTACAGCACCGTGAAATCAAACGGCAGAAGATGCAAGTTCTTACGGTATCTGAAGAGTCCTGAGAGTCCTAGTGATTAATGACCCAAGACATTGCATCATCTCATGATGACTTCGAGAATAACTAGCCTCTATTTTCAATTTTCCTTCAGAAGTTTTTGAATTTCCTTAATTTGCCTAGAATTTAAAATGTAAACAATGAATATGAAATCTTTAAAACAGTGAACTACAAAGACTAGAAAAGCAGGTAGAAGGAGAACATACCAAACAAGACTCTCAAAGCGCAAAACAAGCGAACCGGAAGTGAACCAAAATGATTTTCAGCAGCTTCAAATAATGTAACAACGATTTTTGCTAGAGCCTGCTCACCACCAACTGACGACAAACGATGATAATCAGCAAATAAGAAACTAAAACAAAAATTCTCAAATAATAAAATTTTTCTTAAAAACAGAAGGATTATTTGAGAACAGCTTTATTGCTTGCATTAATTAAAGTATTGCAGAAAATGTTAGTGATATATTCAGGAAAGCATTCTAAATTGTCATTAAAATAAGCATGGAATTAACGAATAGACAAAAAGTGGAGGAAAATCGGCATTTTTCAAAACTGTAAATGTTACGTAATGATAATGCAAGCAACTGCTTTTGGGCAAATGAACTCTTACAAAACTCAAATTGAAAGTTAACAACTGAACACTTCACTGGTATTTAAATATTTCAGTTACTTGCTGTAATTGCAGATTATCCAACCATTATAAAAGACAGTCTATGATAAAAAATGAACCGATATTTACCTCACAGGGCAGGAAAGAACATCTTTGTCCCCGATTGATGCTCCATGTTGTAGTGCAACATTTAATAATAAACGCATGTGTGCCAAAAATTTCGCAATCGAACGCGCAACATTTACGGATTTATTCCATCCTTTAGTACTGTTTCCATAATAAATTAAACCTGAAAAAAGGAGAAAACTGGATAACAAGCTATATATATACTCAAACACGAAAAAGGCTAAGCATATCTTGTCCAATGAGTCCAATTATTTATACAATAGTTCAGCTATTTCACAGTCCTTGTCATTGAGAATGAACGTGAAAGAAGATTTGGACAGCATCCCTCAAAAAATTCTCTAATTTGCCAAAATATTTACACATAGAGTACTATGTGGTCAAAACAGTAATTTGAGAAAACAAGAACTGTCACAAGAACTATATTGTAATATCTTGATATGAGTCATCTAATCAAAAATTAGTAAACTTCGGGTAAATCTGAAATTTGAAGAGATAGGTGTATCTGCTTGAATTCATCTAAAACCATCGAAAACATAATTTCAAAAAAGAGCGAACAACTGACCGTAAAAAAGCATAAATAGAATGAATAGAATCAAGCCAGAGACAACAACAGTAATAATATAATAAGGGTTTTGAAAAACAGCAACAGCAGTGATGCCGAGAAGTGCAAACATTGCAATAAGAAGTGCTACTGAAAAAACCAATGACCAGGACCATGAAAGCTGTACTGTATCCAACCAAGATCTTGAAAATGATCGCATTGAATCTTTCATTTTGTTAAGAAGCACTGACTTTCCTGAACCCCATTTTGCGTATAGCCCTGAAAAGCACTTTCCATAAAAAACTCAAATCTAAACAATCTAAAATCTAAACTATATAAACTGTGAGACAAGACACCAGGAATAAAAAAGCAAAAACAAAAACTGGACTGCAGGTCCGAAATTTCATAAATTCAATTAAATTCTGTCAAACAAAATAAGAGTTATATGCAAACTGAAAAATGAAAGTTATGTAAATTACATAATAACTCGAAAATTTTCAAAAACTCATAACAATTAGCCATGAACTTGGTCACTAAATATTTGACTCATTTAACAAAACTTGACAGCTCACCGATAGTCAGCGGTAATGTTAAATTCGGTTCGCACACAATATCAGCCAATACATTGCTGTAAATATCGTAACCAAGCATAGCATCCACTTGTATTTCAGCATCCAGTGGTCCATAAATTAGGGGGATAATAGGCTGCGGATTTTCCTGATCAATTGAATATGGTGTCTGACCAAGTTTGTTCGGTCTGTATAATAAACGTGAATCCGACGGATTCAACAGAAGGGACTGCGTTATTTTCCGCGATCTTGCTCGCAATGCCACATGTAATGCATTATCACCGGCATTATCTGTTGCTGAAACTTTTGCACCGGAATTTATCAGTAACTGACAAAAACCAACATGCCGATTTTTCACAGCTCGTAATAGTGGTGTATCACCGTCCTGTAAAAAATATAAATGGCTCTTATGAGTTGAATAATTTGCAGAATTAGGAACTCTATAACCGAGATTGCTAGAAAAAAGGAATTAACGAATGGTGTTGATGATGAAAGATTTAGACAAATTATCAAATGTGGAGTAATATCACTATGACTAGAACAATAACAAGTAGCCTTCGTCAGGTGATGCAACATTAAGACATATAAGGGGTAACACTTCGGTGAAAAGATATATAGATATATGCATCCATAGAAACTGTGAAACCCCAGTTAAACTGCCATAGCGCAGTATTTCAGCAGTACCCAATAATCTCTTATATATGATTAGTATCTCTACTGTCTAGAAGACAACATGCTTTCATAAAAATGAGAAAAGCTTTAATTGGATAGAATCGGACCGCTAAATATGCAACAATTAAAAAAATCGAAGTATTTTAATGCTGCTAAATTATGATACTTCTATTATAACCTTATTCCGTATTTCCAAGTTTGGCTTCCTTTCCAATAAAGCAACTGCAATATCCATAAATGACTTATCGATAGCCAAATGAAGAATTGTTCTATTTTCCTGAAAACTTGCTTTTATCAAAAGTAATATACAGTGCGATTTACTGATTGGATGAATTGAGAGTCCAAAAAAAAAATGTGATTCAAACATATTTGAGCTATAAGTCTAAGATTTCTCCTCGAAGTCGGTAGTTTTCTATTATTCTTATAGATTTAACCACTTAAATCTATAAGAATAATAGGGCTAAGAACTATTTAAATCCATAAAATAATTAGTTAGCAAAACAAATAATCGGATAAAAATATTAACATACGGAATCCCTTGCATTGACATCGGCATGTTTTTCAAGAAGCATTCTCACAATTTCTACATTTCCTGATCGTACAGCACCCGCCAAAATTGAATTTCCAAACTGCAAAAAGGCATTATTTTGGAAAAAGTTTGAAATAGGAAATAATGAAAGTTGCAAAAGAAACAAACAACGAAAAATTCAACTGTACCCTGTCCACTACATTTACACAAGCCCCAAGTTGGATAAAGGTCGATGCAATTTCTACATAACCTTCACGTGCCGCGATAGCAAGTGGTGAAAGGCCATTCTGCAAAACAGGAATTATATGAAGTCAATCGAATTCAAAGTTATTACAAAATTCAAGATATGAGAATGAATGTTTAGTGAACTCAAGGAGGCTGTTGCCAGCTTTTAAAAAAGTAGAATATAGACCTGATCGACAATGTTGATGTTTGGCTCCCTTGATAGTATCAGCTTAACAACACTAATGAAATTACCCCGCGTGGCCATCATTAAAGCAGTCGATCCATACTGCAAATAATAGCATACAAACTTCTTGAAATTTGAACTAGAATCATTTCTTCTAAATTTTATTGAATTTCAAAACCAAATAAAAATTAAAATTGAATACCATCCCAACAGCATCTAATTCAGCTCCAGCATTCAGCAGTAATTCGATTATAGATTTGTAACCCCTCCTTGCAGCCCAGATTAAAGCTGTACTTCCGAATTTATCACATGCGTTTACCTGAAAAATCATCAACCCACAAAAGTTTTCCACTAATTAGAAAGATAAGAAATTTGTACATTTTGCGAATAATTTACCAATTTTTAAATATAAAACTCACCTCTGCACCAGCACCAATAAGTAATTCTACAAAAGTTACATAGCCACGTCCAGCGGCAACAATAAGTGGTGTTAAGCTATCTTCTTCATCAACAAGATTAACGTGAGCCTTGAATTGGATAAGAAGCTGCGCACATGAATAATGATTCTTGTATACAGCCCACATCAATGGACTCCAACCCAGCTGCAATACGCGAAACTCATCGTTTTTGCTTAAATTTTACTTCCAGTTTACTCTATATAATATATTCATCAATTTTTTTGGACTTCATAAAAAGTTCAAACTTTCGAAAACTTCGACTAACTCTTACCATATCAGAATAATTGACAGCTGCTCCAGCTTCCAATAGGATTTTAATAATTTCCTCATGTCCCATATAGGCTGCGTCGAGAAGAGCAGTCCAACCATCCTTAAAAACTAAATTCGTTTTATATATTTCAGAGAGAAATGGAACAAAGACAAATGCAATCCTAAGAAATATTAATGAAGATTATATGGTTTTATAAATCTAATATTGCCGCTCAACAAATAAAGCAGATGAAAATCTCCAAGATAAATAAAATTCACTTTTATTTAATCAACTAACAGAGAAAGTGAATTCTGCTTAACATGTATTTTACTGTTAGCTAACTTATTCTAAACCTGTTTTCTTCGTCTAGGCAACCTTTGTTCAATTTTATTTTCAAATAATGTATCTAATGTACTATTCATTTCATCTAATGTACTATTCATTCAATCATTTTTCTTTATTCTGCTGGTAAAAAATATTTGCCAGCTTTCTTCAAAAATTAATATTTCTAAAAGGCGTACAGCATCTGTATCCTCTAAATCGAAATCATTGATGAAATCCCGTACAATATCAGCTTGTCCCGTTCTGGCTGCAACTATGAGAACATTTTCATTATCCTGCAGTAAATGCAATAATTTATTTTAGTTCATCAAAAATTTATATATTTCCGATGTAAAATATTAAATATTCTCTTGTTAAAAAGAAGTTCATTTTTTAACCAAAGACAATGATATTCTCATTGTCACTAGTGAGCGTATAAATGATTGTTTTTCAAAAGACATGAGGAATATACCGCATTTCTCAAAGTGATCAAGTCTTGTTTTGCAAGGTTAGCACTTCGAAGTTGACCATTTTCTAGTAGAGAAAACAATTCTTCCACTTTTGGATCGGTAGCCATCTTCCCTAAAATTTACAATATCTAAGAACATTTATAGAAAGAAAAAAGTGATTCCTAAGAAAAAAGTGATGACCATTTGATTACTTAATGATAGCAGCGACAACGGACAATGATTGCAGTTTTCTTATTTCTTCATTAAGATGTTTCAGAGCCCAGTAAAAATTTATTACATAACGACTATGCAAAAAAGGCATTCAGGCCATCGATGAGAGCCTGGAACTCCTGAATTTGTGGTGTTGATATAATACTTCATGCCTTAAGGCTTTTCGTACTCTTATTTTACTGACAAAAAGCATTTTTGAGTACAGAAATTTGCCTAACAAATCTCAGGAAACCATATTGTGATTTTGCCATTCCCACTTAGAAAATAGGAAGTTGCAGGAATAATGAATGAGCGTAGATTCTCAATAGCTTTTTGGACAGAGTAATTCCTCCGTCCAAAACCGTTCTGCTATGTCACCTCGCTAGGAAAAAGCATTCTTTTTTCAGTGAAAGATACTTTATTACTTCCGGCATGTCTGGTCTATCAAAATTACAAGTTCCATTTGAAATCGTTCTTATCTGATACCAACTGAGACTCTCATCACTTCGCTTGTTGTTTTACCACTTCTTTCTCTGTCCTCAAATATGGGAATTTGGTCTTTTCAAAAAAATTTTAGTTGTGTTCCTCTGCGATTTCTTTCTTGATTGGAATATCTCAGATGTATGCCTTTTTCTCGATGAGATTTCTTAATCCAAGCAATTTGAGAAATCACACATTTCCCTATTCTTTAAACCACTTTTCAGAATACTAAAACTTACATATGACGCATGATACAGAGGAACTTTCTTCGTTGCCCTGAGACAGCTATGTACAAAAAAGCTATTGCAATTCGATTACTTTTGTATCGTATATACATACTTACGGAGATAAAGTGAGAAAACAAAGTTATAGCAAATTTCACAACAACATCTGCGCATATCATCACTCTGTTAGCCTCACTCACAATCTTATCATTGCATAAAAATACATCTAGAGAACAATTTCGGAACCTAGAAACAATTTCGAAAACAGCAGCTCCAACGATATCATTGTAATTTATCTGGCTTTAAATTTGCTGAAGTTTATTGAAAGCCATTTTTATATGAACATTTAGAACATAACTTATAAAATGTAAGTAAATTTTTCTAAAAACCTGGTCTTTGCTCTGCTATTTGCTTTCGAAGTCTGTGATAAATAAATTCGAAACATTATCATTTTCAAAAATAAGCCACAAAGTCGTATTTATGGCATTCAATACATCACAAAGTTCTTTAAACATCAATGACATTTATCCCTCATAGAAAAAGCGATTTCCTACACAAAGTTTGGAAATAGGTTTTAGAAGAAGGAAAATCCTAAACCCAACCAACCGAAAATATTGCAATCTCCTAACAACTGGTAATGAAACAACATCAGGAAACTTTTACAATTATCGATGAGAACAATTGAAAACTTCAAACTGCAACTGGTGTAGCCCACTTTAACTTAGATTTGAAATGGAATTTCGGGAAATGACCTTTCAGGTTTCCGAAAGTTTTTGCTTCGAGTGAATAGCAGTATCACAGTAACAATTGACAATAACAAATATTCCTAATACCTAAGATGGGGTTTATTTTTGATAATATACCGATCAAGTGCTTCCCAGAAACGAGCTAATATAGCACGATCCAGATGCCGCTTTGTTCGTGATAGCTTTAGAACATTGACACTCCACTTTGCCACATTATTATCCATTTTCTGGTCGTCGTACATTAAATGAAAAGCCGCTACATTTGCAAATATATCCGTAGGGTTGCCACCCCACCTCCAACCTTTGAATTGCCATGCCGGCCCCTGAAATGATTCTCTATTTTTCTTCCTACAGTAAATATCCATTCTTTTGGTTATGACAAGTTCTTTCTATGAGTATAGCTTATAAAATATATTAATACCCCTTTTTCTGTCACCCATATGATCATACCAGCTCTTAATAATCAAAAGAGTGGATGAACAATCCAAAAGAATAAAATGAAAATTTAAAGGGGCAGGAAAATATCCTACAATGAGTTCTACCAACAAAAACAAGTGCTGCTGCAATCACCAAGAAAAGTACCTGAACAAAAACGGCAACAACACGACTCCACTCATCGTCACCAAACTTCAACGGATTTTCAACAACTCTATATGGAACTGTAACGCCGTCATGCTTTAGCCTCTGTATCAAGACTTCATTTTCCCTTCTACAGGTCGTCTTTCGCTCTTCAGTAGTAATGAAACGCATATCCTGTGTTGGAAAAGGAAATATTAATTTCATGCTGCCCACTGATTTTATACAGGAAGTCATGACATAAGACGAACTGCATGCAAGCAAAAATAATATTCTCACGTGATAGAATTTTAATAAAATAAATTTTACATCAAACTATACTAACATCGCTTAACTTCCAAATCCAAAATTAAACCTGCAATATATCGCGAACATTGAACATGGTAATCAGAGAAGTACCAGCTGCTGGAATAATTATAATTGGTGTCCTCGACTGCCGTTTTTGATGTCGCTGATTACCATTATCTGCACTAGATATCAGGGCCTTTGCTGGCGCCGACGATTCTACCACCATCGGTTTCGCTCCCGAAGCGGACATTATTGATGTTCCTAAAAAAGTTGATAGACTTAGGTTCCAATTTAATAAATCTTACGCTTGTTTTTTTCCGAACTAAGCTTTGTTGCAGCCTCCTATTTTAATTACGTTAAATTAAAATACAACTAAAAGCAAATTCTGAAAATTACAATATAAAACCTTGGAAAGTAAGTCCGGTTTCGATCTTGAAACCAGCAGTTTGGTCTTTGTTAAATTTTTCCTGATCGTAACGTGAATAGCCAGCAGGTTGTGTCCTGATACGATCATTAGGCGCCATTCTTGGCGGAGGTACTGCTGATTTCTGACGTTGCGCTGCCTCTTCTCGCAACTGGAAACTTGTATGCAAGTAAGCATGCAGAATTTATTTTGCTAAGGCTTAATATTAACCAAAAGATCTTACAGAATGAATAACTATAAAAACAATATAGCTTAGATCCACATACTTTAAAACTATGTAAAATAGAGAGGATTGAAGTGAACTCCTTAGATGCTGCTTCCATGACACTTGTTCGATTTCTCCATACCCGTTCTTTTCCTTTCAGTTCACGGTCAAGCGCATCTTCACTTACATCAGGCACATCTAAATCCATCGGAGCGCCAAACCTGAATTATTTCCAAGTTACAAAAGGGTCAACCTGGAGACAATTCCAAAGTTTCATCCAACATGCCGAATCAAACAAGAAAACAAAACAGGATGTCGATTATATTTCTGTCCTTGTGACTTCAAAATAGTAAACTTAAGAAATTGTAAAAATCGCAAGAAGACCTTAACTGGCGGAAGAATCAACCAAATTCACCTGTCGTCTACAGATTTGATTGTATTTCTTGCCATGTTTTTTTTCCGCTTGTTTTTCAAAGCAGCAATTTTGTCAGCTGTGAGCTTGTCACTGAGATCTCTTACTCCTTCTACATCCGCACTTTTGTTACCTTCCGTTACAGTACCTTTCAGCAGATTTTGTATTCGTTGTCTAGAAATGGTATTTACTGATACACATAAAAAAGCCAGAAGGAATGTCTACATTAAAGTAATCTAATTGATGTATTACATAAATTGCACGCAGCGAATTTGCAAATCTTTAAAATTCGCTTCTACACAACACTAACCGATTTTCTTCGCCATCATAACGTGTTTTTTTCACTTCCGGTTCATTCTGATCTATAAGTCGAGAGACAGGAATCGGTGCTGGAATAGGTGCCAGTAAGTCCACTGTTTGTGGTGGTTGTTCACGTTCACCTTTGAGATATGCCAGAAGTTCACGCCTGAATTTAAAAAGCTAAAACTTATTAAAATACTAAAACTTCCAATAAATCTACTTTAAGTAAAGAATAGTTTTCAGAAAAACAACTGAAAATTCGATTTAAAATTCACATATCTCAAACTGAAAATTCGACTAAATTCTAGAAAGTTATTAAAGTTATGAAAACTTTAAGACCATTTAAATGAAAAGTAGAATTCAATAGCAAAAACAAAATTCAAAAATCTCGAAAATAACTCTCAAATTCGGTTCATGTGAGAAACCGAAACCAAAGAGATGTGCGAAATCAAATAGCGTTGGAAAAAACTTAGAAACACACTTACGCAGCGCTAAACAAATTTATTCATAAATGCAACTCACCTAGGCTCTCAAAACGTAAGAATGAGAGATGAGAAAAAATATATCTCCTAATGATTCGAGATCCAAACATGAAATATACCTATCAGGCCTGGTAACGCACTGTATTCCTTTACCAGAAGCATCCTTGACATAAGCAGTATGTTGCATTTCCCGGTTTTCCCATAGTAGCAATAATGATTCCAACGTATAATATTCATTCTGCCTGCCATATACCATTAAATTCGTCTTTACGTCGCGTCGATAAGCTGCATCACCAAATACATAATAACGCTGATTGCCCTGAAACCGCTAATGTAATAATACATCTAAATTTGTACTTTACAGACGTATTGCAAAAATTAGATGCTTGATGTAAAATCATTACTCATACGTATTTCTTAGTCCACATCTCTTTATCTCTTACTTTTACCTTAAAAAACAAATAACTCTCAATAACATGTCCACAGTGAGGAAACTCGATAGAAAAAAACAAACGTTTTTAATTTCCCGCATAGTACGTCGGCCAACAGCATATTCATGTAACAGTTTCAGCGGATCAGCCATTACTAACACTTGGATTGAAAATAACGTCAACACGCACGTAACTTCCACGTAAGTCCGTCAACAGCAAAACATGAAACGATATTATTGGCAAAAGCTAAAAAAGCGGCTGGGCCGTGAGACACTATGCAAATGGAGTCTAAAAGCAAATAACGTTGAGAGACTCAATTCTTGTCGATGGTGTAACTATGGTAGAGTGACGTGAAGGAAATCAAATATTTAACCTTCTTTTGACATAGTAGTAAATTTGAACAGAATTGAACATTTCCTCTTGGAATTTTTATCTTGACTAATTTAAAATTAAATTTTGTTGCTGGTAATCTAATAAAAATGTTACACTCAGATAATTAATAGCTGACAGCACTGTACACGTTGATGACTAATTCCGGATGAATTTTGATATTTCATTGTACATAGTCGACAAATTTTTGCTAAAAATTTGAGATTGAACTTTCACTTCGATATTTTTGCAGTTTCTAAGAACGGCCAGATATAGAACAAATTGAAGTTTTACCTAATTTAGACTTAAGTCTATTTTAAAAAGGAAACTTCGGCTTAATTTAGTGTTACAATCATTCGATCTTTGTATTTGATAGAAGCAGTGTTTCTAATTATATTTCATTGTACAAAATTAAAAATTAACATTTCGGAAATTTGAATGGGTAGTCATGTTACCCGCTTCTGCGGCTACTTCCTGAGCAAACGATAATTGAGAATAATATTATGATCATTGTAATTTTACCGAACCATCTGCATCGAATCATCTACATGTTCACTTTAAATCCTTTTAACTGTTTTCTACGATTAGTTGAAGCTATTCGAAAAAGCTGAAACTGGTGAACTAATTCTGGCAACATAAAGTTTTTTTCCCTCATAAGGAACGTAAAGTTTACTCGAACATCGAAATGTTAATTCCATCTGTAAGGTATATGAAGTGGGCTTAAATCGCAGTAAAGTGCCAGGTTATTAGCTTCATTTCTCTGTTGCGATTAGAGATGTTGGAATGTTGATATTGAATGCTCGGCATGTCAAACTCAAATAACTGCTTATATGCATGACTGATAGTAAATGGAGTAATGAATTGAATATGTCAAATCTACGAATAGTTAAAATTGATTAATGCATAAGTAGCAATTTCCTGAAATCTTAAATTTGATTTTCAACCACGGACTTCAGCCATAACATTTTATAATCAGATGCATTAGGACAATTTAATTGAAAAATCTCACTTCATGAAAGCAATGTATGCAGTTTGCCATGAAAGCGTGTCATTCCGCTCCTTGCCAATTCAATATGAAATTCTGGCAAAGACGATCAATCTTAGACTTCTCTTAATACGAATTCAGATTTGCTTGATCTAAACTCCGCTCATATGTCTTTAATTAGTATCTTCTCATTCTTTCTTCACAATCGAGAGTGCCCTCTCGAACACAATTCCTTTTCAGAAGTATACATGATAAAACCAGCTGCAGACTTTTTGTGCATGTTATCCTTAATACTCTATCCTAAAATTATCCAGTAATGCAAATTCTTATTGATGCAAGAAGTTTGAAAGAATATATTCTGCATCCTTTATTGCAATTGAAGGGTTAGAATTTCTAAGCCAGTTTAAATCATTCATTGACATTAGCAAAAAATAAATAATAGTTCTTTTACATTTTGCGGAGGTGAATACAACATAAAATTTGAATTTTGAAAAAATAACAACGGATCATTAAAACGGTATAAAATGAATCCTACGGCATTACAGAAATAGCCAATTAGTTTTCATTAACAAGAGTTTGCTATATTTAGAATACTTGCCTTCCTCATTATATATATTAAAAATTAGGATATTTAGTGTCTTTCTTGACAGCTTCTATTTACTTCAAAACAAGCCCCATTGCATTCATTGCAGAAAGAACTTTAGTACGCCAGTAATTGATAATAATAAAAATTAATCCATGCTTAATTTGCTACAGATATTAACCAACAAATAAGGCGATTGAATATCAAAAAAAAAAGAAATAAGTATCATTAATAGTATAAACAAGGAATGATATATAAGTGGGAACAGTGAAAAGAGAAAGTAAAAATAAAAAGCAAAATTTCATCTGGAGAATTTCAACAAAATCTGAGAGACATTGGATGTGTATATCATAGAAATGGAGAAAAAATCTCAGGAGCTTCAAACAAGTTACACTGAGCCACAGATGAATTCGGACGAACTAAACAGTCGTTTGGCTTGAACATGGAGTGAAACTTCAAACAATACAGAACTATGATATGAGCTTAAAATAACGACAGAACAGCTTATAATAATTCTAAATTATATTAATAAGCATTTGTAAGTGATGGTAACAGTAGGAGAGCAATCCTGATAATATTCTTTTAAAGGCAATAATATCATATAAGACAAAGATCGATCGAACATTGCAACCACTTCCCTCAATTTCTTTACTTCGTACTATTCTCCTTATGTCGTGAACTACGCTTGAAGAACGAAAATGCTTTACGCTCTGAAAATAAATTACTTATTGATACAAATCTAATAGAACAAAGTCTGAAAAAATTCCACCATTTTTTGCACACCAAAAAACAATGAAAGGAATTTGACTTCGGAGAAATATATAGAAACATATTAAATCAAAATCACAGCTATTGTGTTAAATAAAACAGTTTTTACCAATCAATCTACACAATGACATGGTGTGGAGCCTGAAAGATCACAAATTTAGTGTGATATTATTTCAGATAATCATTTATTTAATAAAATTGTAAGCAAACACACTTTTAACAGAATCAGTATCATCGGACAGTCCGACAACAGGAGCAATTGGTGCAGAAGTTGTTGATGATGACAAATCGGAGTGTCTTTCCACCCAGGCGATAAAATCATTGTCAGCGCCTTTTATATTACCAGTGTTTCGACGTGATGTTGATGACGCTATGGAATCCGAATCCAACTCCAACACCCGTCTACCGTTCATTTCGTTATCACGATTTAGGTATTGGAATTCAGGGCCATCCTGAGAAAAAAGAACTTCAATGAACTCATAACTTGAACTGTAAATGTGATAAACATATGTCAAAAAAAATCAAAAAAAAAAATCAAGATATTTCGAAAAGTTAGAGACTAAAAACGAATTATAAAGTTGGAGCGAGTAAATCTGATTAAAAATTTTTTCAAAAGATATCAATTAATCATTGATATGTGGTATCATGAATTTTGCGAAACCTTTAAAAGCAGTTGAAGCTACTTCGATATTTTTCACGCAATTTTAACCATTGTTTTCAAAAAACATTTTCTCACTAAGTTAACATATAATGTTGTAGAAAAAAATTCGCTTTTCAGCAGATCTGCCTAACGATGAACTGCTACTTTTGTTGTTATCAGCATGACAGAGAATCATAATTGGAAGGCAGATTTTCTTGATGACAATTCTGAGCATTAAAGGCGTGATTTTTCTGTCATTTGCACTTAATTCTTCATTACAACATCTCAACGTTCAAAGTTCAAAAAATTAACACTAACAAGATTTCCGAACCCGTTTTCACGCTGTACCGATGTTACTGCTGTTGTTGTTGTCGACCTATAGGACTGATTTTGAAGTTCCAACTTCATTTCTTCTTCGCTATCTAAAAATCGACACTTGCAATTAAGCCTTTTACACTTGGGCCAGAAAAAAAGAAAAGTTAGACGTGATCTTAAAATAAGCCAACATTACTAAGTATTAAAATGAAAAATAGTTATTTTTATGGGTCGCTCAAAATGGTTATCATTTTTAAGAATCGCTACAAAAAAATGCAAAATTAATAGCCGAAACAAGATCACAGTAAAATATTGAAGCTATTCCATTTAATGTTTTCAGTGCCTTTTTCAGCTCACTCATACTCCGTCGATATCTGCATTTTCCCTTTTCTCCGGGAAGAAATAATATAAAAAACAAATTAATATCATAACTTTGCTTATCAGGTACGAAATTATTATTAAGATTAGATTTCTATTAAGTACAAAGAGCTTGTAAAACAAAGGACAGTTATTGGCAAGATATTAAGCTAAAATAAGAACTGATCTAAATATATAGTGACCAGTTCTGACTCAGAGGTAGAGGTATTGATATAAAATGAGTGAAATAATAACTATTAATTATCTCCCTCATTATCTTATGTCAATTACGAACTGAAATTACGCCGAAGGCAATAGCAAAGCACACACTCAAAACATTGTCAAAACATAAAGGAAAAGCATCAAATGGAAAGTGAAAATATTGACAAAATATATACATAGGAAGTGAAGAAAAATAAAAAGGATGAAACAATAAGAATTAATAACTCCAATAAATTTTTATTGAAAAATTTTCAATAAACTCAGAAATACCAATGAAAATTAATCGAAGTTTAGCAGAGCAATTAATGTCATAAGCTTTCATTAAGCAAGCGGTTTACATTTGGTTCAATACGGAACAAGGAAATCTACTAGTGGAAATCCTAATAATGCTAACGGCTAAATAAGGCGCTAGATTTTCTTTTCACAAACGCTGAATATTTTAGTCCTAAATACCAAAAATTACAGATAAAACTTACGATGATTATTAGTTATAATACCGGACTTTTCAACTGATTTGGATTCATAGGACGGTGATGAAAAGGCATTAACTTCTACCGATGAAACTAATTCCGTAGTGTGTCGTCGTACAGTTTCGACAGGTCGTGGTGGCGGTGAATACATTGGCGGGCTTTCACTCTGAAATCAACTAAATAACATGAGAAATTCAGTAACTACTGCGCGAAGTTCTATTAGATTAGAAAAATATGCAAAAGTGTATCCTTCCAAAATGCAGTTGCATAATCTCAATAACTTTTAGAAAACTTCTAGATTCTACTCTAAATTATTTCTGTCAGCTCTCAATAAACTAAAATGTACACTGACTGGAATTTTTCATGATTTCAGCTGCCTTACCCATTTTTTATGATCATTTTCCTTATCTTTTACACAAGTTATATCTGAATTATACCTTCTCAAAGCTTCGAAGCTGCTGGGCGGGTGCCAAATTTGCATGAAACCTTATTTTCAATACCCATTCTAGCATTTTGTCATCGTCATTACAAGCAAAGAGGTACTCCGACCCATCCTGCATTTTCAGCCTGAAACACTTTTCTTTTCTGAAATAATGTCATCTACCTTCCCAGAAAATTCATCGTGTTATTCGTGAAACCATTTCGCTTTCTCCACGGCAGATCGAAACATTTTGAAAAAACCTCTTGCAGTGAAGGTTTTGAAAATCTGAAACTTCCTGCGAAAAGAGTAAAAATAAGACGAAGTGAATAATACGAAAAAATTACCTAAAGGTATTCTTTTTTTTCATATATTCAGGACAAGCATCACATTCCGCATTCAGGATATTGACAGGCGCAGAAGCTGCCGAATTTTCCAAAAAAGAATCTTCATCTTTGAAAAAACATAGAAGCTGTCCACAGAGAATTGTATAATATCTTTTCCATGTGCGTACTGTTGCCTTTTTCCCACCGCTCTAGAAAAAAATATAAAACTGAAGAGAGAAAAGAATAGGTATCAAATCTCTTTATCATAACAAATAATCATCTACTGAAATATTCCACTGGGATGTTGAAAAGATCAAATTTGTTGCGAATTTGACACCTCTGAGAAGACAGAGGATGGATCACGAATAGAAAATTGCTTATTCAACAAAGGAAACTCATGCAAAACGATAGTAAAAAAATTCAAAAATTTGTACTTGCAAATCTTGCTTCCGATCGAGATATCCGTGCATATCAATCGGTCCGAAGTCTTCCCGCGTTCCGACTTTTTTTAATGAATTCGACCTTCTTGTAGTAAATTTCGGAGTTCTTCGAGTTGAACCTATCCTCTGGATCGTCAGAGTTTCATCAATTGATAACATAGATCCAGATGTCTTCAGCATTCTATCGGCTTCTACCGACGAACCATCCGAAACGCTCAAAGCTGCCTGTTTCGAAGGAGTAGTCGGTCCTTCCTCAAATAACAAGAAGCTTGTGAGTTATCTCTCATTACGCATCAAATTGGATATTAACATTTGCATTTTATGACGCGTGAAAGAGAATTTTTTAGCAACTTCGGCAATCGCACTGCAAATGGATAAATAAGATGATATCGATATGTAAAACATACTTTTGATTCGAAAGAGGATGTCCGAATGCATGGAACAGGTTCGGTTCCACGTCGAAGATGCGGTAAGGTATTAGATGCATACACCTCTTCGGTACATGATGGACTTGGCTTCATCAATGCTACTTCTTGAGTCATACGTCTTTCACGTTCTTTTCGACGATCTTGGAGTTTATTCTGTTTCTCAAATGTCTTAATACTTTCTTTCCGTGATTCGCTTTTTCCTTTCTCTGCTTGGATTCTAAAAAACAAAAAAATCTTGCCCATAAATATTTTGGGCACCAAAGTTGAACAACATCAAAAATTAAGATAGCAGAAAAACTATTACTAAATATTGTATTATCCCAAATCAAAGACTTCTCTAAGTCCTTTCAAAAAGATTTCTTAATTACTAGACTACTACTTGATCAGTGAAAACAAATTAGTAGACCTTTCAGATTCCTTCTTGCGCTGTTTTGAATAAGCCTTCTCGAGAAGGGTTAACCTTTTCAAAGAGTCGAACTTCTCACCTTGAGCTTCTAATGTAATCAGAAAATCGTCGAAATTCCTGAAAAAAAAAAATTCCTTTTAAAAAGTGATTCAACTGCAAAAAATTCCTCCGACAATAAATTGAATAGTGCTTTCACAAAAAAAATTTTGAACTACGAAAGAAAAAAACAAACCTTATTTTATTATCTGCATCGTCGACATCTTCAACTTTCCTCCAGTCCTCTTTCAACATGTCTTCCTTCTCTGTTAACCATGTGTCTGTGATATGCGCATCTCGTTTCCATTGTTGCAAGTCCAGATTTTCTTCGTATAACACTAATCGCTCTTTCCAGATATCTTTCAATAAATCCATAGCTGATTCTAATTGTTTAATCTGAAAAAACAGAATTTTTCCATATTCTCTGAATGCGAAAAAGAACTTACACCTTTTCTAATCAACTTCATTCTTTACGTCCACTAGGCAAAAAAATCACTTTTCGTTGATAATAATTTGATTATGATTGAGAAATGCTTATCCAATTTGTTTTATAATTCTGGAAATTCCTCAAATATTAAGTAACAGAAATTTCGACGTATCAGAAATTCAAACCTTGCCGGATATTTCGGAAGACAAAACATGTTGTGCAGCAATCATACTGTTACCCTTACGAATAAATTCATCAACAACAGGCTGTCGTCCATGAATTTCAGCTTGGTATTCTGCATGTCTTAGCATTAATGTCTTGCATCCTTCCACATCGTTAGGAAGTGTTTCACTACAAAATAAAACTTGTTAACTCAACACTCAAAAATTTTAATCATAATTAATCAATTTCTTAAAAGACCAATATTTGATAAGCCCATATCTTATGAATACAGGGTCAAAACAAGTAGGAGAGAAGATAAACTGTAAAAATCTGCAGGGAAATAATAAAAAGCATTACCTTGTTATAGCATGCTGTAAGCGTTTAATCCAAGTGATTAAATCGCGATATTCTTGGAAATACGACTGCAAATTCCGCATCTGCTGCAGTTTCTCATGATATTTATTAGCAGTACTCAATACGTCTTTCAGTTGCTCTTCCATCCCCATCTTACGTACTACTAGATGTTCCTGTGTGTCAGGATATAATGATATCAAACGTTCTGCTTCACGGCATAAATCGTTAACCTGAAATAAACAACGTTTCTCAATTATGACAATTTTAATCCCAACCTTTTCTTTAAAATCAAAGTGCAAATGATAAACCTGCTTCTCAACTGCCGTAACGCCACGCATAAATTCGTCGTATTTATTCATCAGTTGTTTCAAAGCAGGAAGATCAGCTCGAGAAATATCTTCACCTTCAAGTGCTACTTGGTGCGCTTCCTTTTCCTCTAACCAACCAAGAGTCTCATCAGCATCTTGATCAAATTTGTGGACCTTAAAAACCAATAATTAGTTACCACTCTACATTCACAACTATACAAAGAATCATCTACGATATGCTAACAATAGCAACTATTTACATTATTATAAAATAAAATATGATTTAAAGTGTATGTATAAAATATTCAGCCTACACGATGTTGGAAAGATCTTTCCTTCTCATTAGTAAATAAAAATGGATTTTTTTAAAATACTAGTTGGAGGAATGAAATATTTTTTATACGATGAAAGGATTGCATGGACCCAAACACAAAGTGGCAAAACTCCGAGAATATATATAAAATATAATCGAAGCTGTGGCAGAATTTCAAATTAATTTTATTCATACAATATATTCAATTATTTCGCTGTTTCTAAGATGAGTAAATGAACGAAATATCCAGGTATAAAACTTAGCAGTAATAGTTGAATAATATCAGATTAATGTCTAAAACTAGACAAAATTCAAAAAACCAGCACATAAGATTGAAAAGGGGGAATATTTCAGCACTACTATCACCGTGTCTTACACGCAAGATGTAATACTTCGAGTAATTTCTCTTGCTGTAAATAAAACTTGTTGCACGATGTTTCATATTTTTTCACTTTCCCTCTATTACATTACAGGTAAAAAATTTTCGGATAACACAAAAAAGTTATATAGATAAAAAAAACCCTATTCTGCCATAGAAAACCCGATAAAATTGAAATAAAAACCTGAATAGCCCCTTGCAAAGCCTGCTGGCGTTCATTAGCTACTTCATTGACCCGAGACCAAAGATGTTGCAGATCAGTCCCCTTTGCTTTTATAGATACGCCAAATGGATGACCACTACGAAGCAGTTCTTCCTAAAATCCCAAATATTATCATTTTTGCGAAGCAAAACTGAAAAACAACTAGCAATTTTGACAAAACTTTCAAATATTGCCAAAAAATAATTATTAGAATTACCTGAGTTTTTTTCACTGCAGCGATTCTTTCACCAGCAGAAGCTAATTCACGCACAACTTGATCGAATTCGGTTACCAGTTTTTGACATTCAGCCAAATCGCGGCCTAAAATTAGCTTAAATACTTTTGGGTTAAACAGAAACTAGTGATGTTGAATATTTTGGCACATTACTGTCACCTTTAAAAATACCGGAAATTTTGCATCTGTAAAATAAACTGCTATCATTCTGATATAGAAGCTATCAATTGTCCCATAAGATAAAAGCAAATCGCATATTATCAATATATAAACTTTAAATAGCTGTCGAATTGTTTATAGGTTAAAACTTGAGATATAATTCAGTCCTCAGTTTTATTACTCGATTCATACCTACCATAATTTTCTTGCTTAGTGATTTCTAATTTCTCTGAAAGCCATCGGTCGAGGCCATCAACTTGGCGAACAAATGCATGATATCTTGCTGAATCCACCAGTTGTATCTTACGCCTTGTAATATCATCTCTGAGCTGTTTGTACAATTCTTCCAACTTGCTCTGTTTTGATGAAAGCTTAAAAATAATAATTATGACGATAAAGACCAGAGTAGATCGAAACAATATTCCATAGTTTAAGTGAAAAGCTTGACTTGAAAAATGAACGAACGAGTTGATACTTCTCATAGTTCGGATTATCTGATGTGTACGTTAACTAGAGGCACACAAAACAAGTATGAATTCCAAAATAAAAATGGGTTTAAGAACAACAGCTAATTGAAAAATGATAAAGCCTTAATGCGAAAAAGAAAATCGGTCGTGAAGCTTAATAAGAGGATAAACGGGAAGAATCCGAAAACCCCGAAAATGTTGAAATAAAACTAACATTTGTAGAATCAAAATGTTTTGCAGCGAACATTACTTCCGCTTCCTTTCGTAGTCTTTCGATTTCATCGGAGAATTTATTTATAGCATTTTCTAACGTTTTCAGTCGTCTCAAGTGCCCTTCTGCAGCTACCTGATCCTTACCCATATCGCTATTTGCCACCAATGGTATGCGCTCACGCATCCATTGTTCAGCTTCATTAGCTTCGGCATAGTACTAGAAAAATAAAATACTGAAAACAGTTGAAGCGCTTCCGTTAAATTCCATGAAAATATTTAAACTAAGTAATTTTGCATCAGAGTTCTGCTTGAAAAAATTCTCTGAAACTTGCCAAATTTGAATTTCAATTTGCGACGACCAACACATTTATTACCTGCTGACTTTGTAAAGAATCCTTCAGTTTTTGTGACCTTTCATTTATGAACTGTTTTACAGATAGAACCAATGTTGCCAATTCATCTAAAACTTCCTGTATTGCGCTCGATGCAAAATGCCCGTCTTTTATCATTTTGCGACCTTTCTCCTCAACCCTTGCTATTGCTTCCTGGAGAGAATGATTACATTGTCAAAATAAATAAAAAACATGTATACAAACAAATGCTAAATTTCGCATAGGCTTTATTATATTTATTTTTCTGTTAAAAACCAAAGCATTCTTGACCCTTTCAGCATTCAGTTTTGCTTCACAAACATATAAAATGTCTTAATTTAAGTCGCAAAATTAAAATCTAACCCGCCGATTATTAATATCAGCTTCAAGATGTGCATGCTTTTTGGCAAGCAATTGTACAGCATGCAGCGTATCTCCATAATCCGTACTTATCGTCTGCCGTTTTCGATCACTTAACCATTCAATTTGTTCTTCCGCTTCTGATATCCATCCATAAAATGCCAAAGCATCGTTTAGGTTCTCCCGGCGAATTATACAAGGTTTTTTCAGCTCATTGTATCGTATCTCGAGAGCTGTAGCCATTTCCAATGATTCATTAGCAGTGGCGTAACCCTGAAACTGCCAAAATTTTTTAAACTCACGAAAATGAGAAAATTAGAAAAAAATGCACACAAAATAAGGTAATTTTGTTTCGGATCTTAAACGCAGAAAACACGACAACACTACTTTGCTAGCATTTGTCGTAGTATAGCTAAACAGCATACGAACTACATCCATATCATCCATTTTACTTGAACAAATTCTGTCCTATTATTAAGATCCAGATCCTCTACCAAAACGCAATCCACTATTACAAAATAAGAGAAAAAAGTGCATTTTTAATGTTTTGGAATGCACAGAACATTCCACTGAAACATGAAATGATCACCAGCCCGAAATAAAAATAATAACTAACAGAGTTACTGAATAAAAATTAGAAATCTAAGAAAGTTAATTACAAAAAAATAAAGAATCATAAAATAAAGCAATTTTGATAAGAACTGAAAAAATTTTTTACCAACCTGTTTCTGAAATTCATGTGCTTTAGAAACAATTTCATTGACTGCATCTTTTCTGGATTTGATTTCAGCCTCTAAGTCGTCTTGCTTTTTGATAAGTGCTTCCACAGAAATATAGTCTTTTCCATGATCCTCACTTGATAAATCGTTTTCTACCCGTTCGAGCCATTTCTCCAGATCTTCAATGCGTCGATTCAACTGATATGCTTCGTTAGCTTCCCACAATCGACGTTTTTTCATTTCTGATTTACTAAAAGATTAATAACCAGATTAATTTTTTGATTAATCATTGATTGAGACACTGGAAAAAGTATACATAGCTACAAATTTAGATGCAATATAGCTCTATATAGCACATGTTACACGTTTAATTAGAAAGATAAAAAATTATTTAAACATAAAAAAATTCCGAGTCCCGTACAATTTCCATATTAGTTATGCTGTTTTAAGCTTAATCATACAATTGAATATTACCTTCTTAGCTCGTCCCACCCTCGTCTTATTTCAGCAATTTGCAAAGCGATTCGATCAGCTGCATAATGTTTGCCAGCAATAAGCTTATTACCGATCTCAACCATCGATTTTACACGACCTTCATTAGCTTCCAATTCAGCATCAAATGTCAAATGTTTTTGTAGTTTAGCTCTAAAAAAAAACAAGAATAAAAATTTTTTTTACTAACATTTCTTGTACTCTTTTTCTAGCGATCTTGATTATGGCATGAGAGTGGAGTAATTGCTAAACACTGGCTACGTAAAGCAAAAAATTTGTTCCAAAAATTTCAAGTAAGTGTTGAGCGATGTATTAACAAGTTAGGTTGGAGCAGAACAAATCAGTGACAATATACCCAAAAAATAATAATTACAATATAAAGCAATTATGTAATGAACTGAGATAAATGTGTTACCAAAGATATCACAAATATATGTAACAAATCTGTTACCCATTAGTTCTATTAAGTAATACTTCACTAGAACGAAATAATGCACATTTTTGCTACTGATTATATTACTTAGCCAAGGAAGGCTGATCTTATTCATACAGAATTACTACTTCGCCATCAAATGATATCTGTGAACCTTAAATTTGTTTGGTCCAGAAAGCTTTCATCATATGCTAGTTGAATGTTTGCATTGATCCATGTCATCAGTTCACCACAGCTATCGATGAATTCATGTAATTTGCGTGATTCATTCAACAATTCATGACGTCGTTTGCATGATTCCATGAGCGCTACATGTCGAGAGAGGACTGTGTCCCGGCTAAAAATCCGAAATCTCTTTTTTTTTTTTCTATTCCAATAACAACAAAAAACAGTATTCCAAAATCTAACTTCAAAAAACTTCGGCTCTGAATTACATTACAGATTGAAAAGCTAATACAATTTTCCACAAAATAATTATTCCAAATTCATGCAAATCTCAGCTTCAATAGCATGAACGTACATTTTTTCGATTTCATCACGGTAATCTGTATCACATAGCGCTAATGAATCCGCGTCTTTCTTTAGAGCATCGATTTTATCACTTTGAGCAACAAGGGTTTTTTCGAAATCACAGTGTTTCTTAAGTAGTACATCAACAGCAACAACACTCTCGCCCATATCAGCCTGAAATAAGCATATGAAATAGAAAGTTTTAAAACTCTTATTAGAAATAATTTATTATGTATGAAAGTAGACAAGCAATACATTAAATAATAGGCCTAAAAAAAAGGAAATTTCAGCCATAATAGATTTTCACCTGCTTCAGGAATGCTTCTTTGGATGCAAGCCATTGTTCAGCACGAGCAGCCTGATCAGCAAACAACTGACGATTCCGAGCTCGAGCTAAGGCAACGTTCCGAGCCTCCCATGCCTGACGTAACTGATGCTCTGCATTTTGAAGTCGTTTTAGGGATCGTTGTATTTCACCTTTATGATCCGACTGTTTAGCTATCAACCTCGTGCTCCATTCCCGCAATTCTGATACTTCGCGCTGAAAAGGTGAACGCATATTTTTTAAAATTAGGTGAAATAAATCACCCATTCATTTTTTGTTCTATGGAGAAATATAATTGACATCAAAGAACCTGTCGTCCATCAATTTCTGCAAGCTTCTCGACATGTCTAGCAATAAATGCGTCAGCATCTGCTACAGAACGTGGAGCTTCTTGAGTTGTAAGTCGACTAAGGGCGTCTACTACCCACATTTCAGCTTTCCACATTGCATCAAGGAATTTGTGCAATTCACCAGATGACATTAGCGCCTGTCCCCTATAAAATTCTAATAAAAATCATAAAAATTACTATCCTCAACTTCGAACTAAAAACCACTTCCTAATAAATTCCCATAAAAATTTAAAAAAAAAAATACAAAAAAAATACCTAGCTGTCGCGCGTTCAGCCAATTGTTTCCACGAAGTTTCCAGTTTCTGCAGCGATTCAATAACTGTATTGCAAAGTGGCGGTTTCTTGTCGAGAAGTTTCTGTGCCTCAATATCGTGCGCCTAAAATATTTTGAGTCAACTTCATTTGCCCTAGTTTGTTTATTTAAATAACAACTGGATAATGAAAAATTAAAATCTGACAGCACTTCCTACCATAAAATAATTTAAGAAATATATCGCGTTACTAAATTATGATGCCTTTTGGAAAACCTGAATTCACATCAGAAATCACTTTTGGTTTCAAATTCATCTAAGTTTGCCTAAATTTTAATTATTCAATAGAAAATCATTATGTAAGCTGTAACTTAAGCTTCTCATGAATAACAGTCATGTCCCTTTCGACTGCTTCCTGCTTACGTATCAATGCTTCGACGGAATGCAAATCTTTCCCAAGATCATCAATTACGACAGAAGCAAGCTTTTCTTGAATCCTTTCACAAGTATCGTCAACATCGCGATTGAACGCGTGGACTTCGAGTGCTGAACGGAGCTGTGAGCGGTACAAACTTAGTTTGACTTGCACTTCTTTCCAACTAAAACCAAATAGAAATTGAAACAGATGGTTTTTAAATCAAAAATAAGTGATTATTGCAGGACTGTATCATCGATATTCAAAAATCTGTCGTTGAAAAAATAAAAATTATTTCGCAATTGTCCCCAGAAGTTCTGTATCGTTTGCCATCTTTATGATATCCTACTAACATTTCCGTGCTAATAATTTAAATTTTTTTAAAAGAAGAAAAATAGAACTAACGCATCATTTAATTCATTGAGCTGTTGCTGCACTTCATCCTTTGAAGACCGCCCTTGAGCAATTAGCTTTTGACCTAAACAATTCGCAGATTCAACGGAAGTTTGGTCAACACTTGCATCTGCTTGTGTTCCATCCAATTTTTCCAGTAGTGCTTGGCAGTGCTCCATATCACGACCCATTTTACCGACACTGACTAGCAGTTCTCTTTCCTGGAATATCTTACCTGTTGCTTAAATCATTTCTTGTTCCCTACAACTACATGAGTACGGCAAGCTTAACTGAATTATATCGAATGTGTTACAAACCCTGTCACGATAGAGATCAAATCATGTATGCATTCTCAAATCAACATTTCTGTATTTTAATACTAGCGATTTGATATTAAAATTACTGAATTCTAATAATTTAAAAATATGAAAAAATGATTGCAGAAAAAAGATTTATTTATGCATACTTTTATCCATCTCATAATCCTTTCAACAAGCTGTTTAAAATCGAGCAAATCTCGAGCTTCTTCCAACGCACTACTTTGATCACGTGACATAGCAACTAGTTCGTCCCATTTCTTAAGCATGGCACCAGTCCTGAAATAAATATAATTTTAAATGATTGGATGATATTCAGTGTGATAACGGTTAAATAAGAGAAAAAGTTCACACTTTTCAAATCCAAAATTAATCCAGTAAAATCAATAAAATGAACCTCTTGTTAATGTCATGTCCATCGTTAGTAGGTTTGGATGCTAATGTTTGTGCCCGTGTTCTAATTTCCTGAATTCTGGACTCATTTGTTGATAATTCAGCTTCCATCGCCTGCAAATGTAAGCAAATATATCAGTACTGCTCAAACTAAGTTACGGTTCTAAAAATTTTGATATAAAAACTAAGTTCAGGAAAATAAACTTTGAAACTACGAAACTAAACAGATTTTCAAAGCATTTTTATCCATTAATCCAATAATTACACTCGGTATGGCCAAACTATGGTATGGCCAAATTGAAAAGCAATGAAGTAGTCTGAATCATCTCAGAAAACGGAATTGTAAAACCTGATGTTTTTGCAAGCGCTTCATTTTATCTTCAATACTTGTTAGTTTCGCTTGTCTATCATTCTCAGCATTTATTCGTTTCTGTTTGTCATCAATCCAGCTTTCTATCTCCATCATATCGCTATTGAAACAAGCCAAATTCAATGCATCATCCAAAATACTTTTCCGTACATTCAGCTGTACACGAAGCTGTGTAAGAGCTGCTTCCACCTTAATAAAAAAAAATGTAGAAAATAAATTACAGTCCTGAAAGAGAAGAAATTACCCGAAACAAGAATACATATAAAACTGGTGGAACGAAATCCTTAAAATGCCTAGTTTTTTTAACCTAGAAATTATAAAAACCCCATCAAATCCCAGCCGCAAGATGCACCACGGATACAACTAATATAGCATAACAGATGTTTGTCTCTTTCAAATTAAATTTCCATGCTTAAAACATTCTTTCCAGAGTTGGCACAGAGACTTTAATCGAATTGTAAAACGACCTTCCAGTACACCATTCTATCATCTGTTGTTATAAATATCATAAATTTTTTATTTATGATTCTAACAATTTTTTCCTTAAAAAAGAAAAAATAAAAAAAATTGTTAGAATGAATCTCAAATCTTCCTATACTTGTTTCATATACTGGTCGATTTTCGAGGATTCAATATGTCTGGCAGCAACCAATTGTTTTGCTGTTTTTTGTAAAGCTGCAACGCGATCATCAAGAGTCGCAAGCGCCTTTTGAAACGTCTCCACTTTTTTGATTTGATTTTCAACTTCTTCCATTGTTCCTCCAACCTCAAAAAATTGATATCATAATAATTATATTTTTAAAAAATTAATTTAAAGTTCCATATAAACATGCGGATTATTACTTGATGTATAAACTGCATGATTAACTAATAAAATGGTAGCAAACTTTGTATTTTGGTTGAAACCAAATTCAGGATACCTGGGCACAACAAAGTGTTGCTTGTCGAGCTGCAATCGTAGCCAGAGTTTGTTTTGCTTCTCGCTGAAATGCATGCCATTCACGTACTTGCGACAACCATTCGCGCCGTATGGCCCATTCATCTCGAACCCGTCTTAAAGCTTGGTCAACCTAAACAAGGAAGAAAAATTCATGCTTGTGGATTCATATATTATTCCATATATGACAACAATAAAAGAAGTAGCAGAATTTTCTTGAATCCATTTTAAATTTCGTCCCTTTCAAATCATTACAGTTCTCATTTTTGAAGACCTAATTAAATTTGATTTTTCAATTTTTTACTAGATAAATCATTTCTTTTTTTACCTGCTTTAATTTTGCTGCGATTTGTGCACTTGCATAATGATCTTTTGCTATCATTTGTTCCCCTCGACTAGTTAATCGTGCAAAATCCGGTCCACGCGTCTCTATTTCAGCCTAGAATTGGGAAATGTACATAAGATAAATTTCATCGCAATTAAACAACCACGAACATAATCGTATATTACAAGTTTACGCATATACCAACTTTATTGAATTCAACAAACCAGAGGGAAAGAGTCGATGGACGATGAGTTCAAACGCTGTAAAATAGTAGATAAAAAAGATAAACTAAGCAGAATTCCGTAAAAAACCCAGCAGAATTTGCTATTTTGCTGCTAATGACTTTTACTATTGCATAAATAAGTGCTTCACTGTGACTAGGTATCGTTGAAAAATATATAAAAATTTATAAACTCAAAACAGTGTTCAATTTTAATCGTATGAATCATTATTTGAAAGGAATAATTAAAAACATGCTGATCTATCCAAATTTGGAAGCATAAGTTACTTAATGCATACATTTTCCATTCTTTCTTCCTTTCAAAAAAACTTCCTGCAATTGTTTCGTCAAACATTTGGAATTTACCTGCAGGCGAAGATGCTCCTTCTGCAACCACTCCACACTTTGTAAATCATGTACCGCTTGTTTACTTTGCATATCTCTTACAATGACTTCTGTCCATGCTATCAAATCACGAGCCTATAAATTTAAATTATCATTATGTGATACTTATGAAACGGCGATCTCTCCACTTTTAAACACTAAGCAAAAACCAAAGCTCATGCAATGTTTTCGCGGATGCCTTTAACTATAATCTCGCAACTATGAGAAATAAAAAACTTGAGAAACTGTCAAGTGAAAATGATTTTCATTTCGGATCTTACGTTACAATGCAAATTATGGCTTAGGGATATATCCTAGCTAGCAAGAATCCTTAATAACCACTCACATTTACGTAAAAACGCTGGAAATCATAAGCAGCTTTCAGCATATCACGACGTGAGACGGTTGCGTCTTGCAAATCCTGCCAAGCTTCAGCTAGAGCTGCTTGTTGTGCCGTGATATGTTCCGCATTACCACCAGGATAAGTAGCTTTCAAGCGCGCGCTTTCTTCTAATAAATCGCGTAGCTGTTGTTCCATAGCACCAAGCTGATTTTCAAAAGCTTCATGCTTCAACCATAAGGAATGAACTTGTTTGATGTCTTTACCAAGTTCTGCAGGAATTGAAGCTTGCTTTTCAGCTATTCGTTCTTGATTCTCAGCTATATCGCGGTTGAAACGATGCAATTCTTCTGCTGCTTCCAGCTTTTGATCTCGACTTTCAATATAATCTAGCAGCAAGGACCAGACAGACCTAAAGTTTTATGATTCTCATTTAAAATTCAAGTATTGTAAGTCCTCGACTGTTCCTAAGCTTCATAGAAGATATATTTATATTTATTTTAATGAACTACATGCTATTTTAAAAGGAAAGATATGTCCCAACTAACGAATTTATTAGTGATAAAATTCCGTGATAAAAAATTTGATATTGGCAAATTTATTTTTCAGAAAATGAAAGCATTGTCGTTAAAATCATAAATAAATCGTACTAAAAGTTCGATAAGACGGAAATAAATCAAGTTATTCAGCCGAAAATTGGCAAAATATCCAGGAAAATTGGTGCCAATCACCTGAGCTTTTCTTGTCGTTTCAAAATGTCACGAGCAAACGGTGGATTGCGTCTCAGCAGTGCATTTGCTGCTGATTCACAATGTACAAATCTTTCGCTACCTGTTTTGACACTTTGCTTGAAATCTTCAAAACGACTCTGTAATTCCTGAAATACATACCACAATGTTAGCAATAATCAATACTAAAATGATCATGCAAATTTTCCGATACTCCAATATTTCGTTTGTCGCAAATTTCAGATATGCTGAGAATTTAAAGTAAGTATTCTAGAACCGTAAAGAGAAAATCCAATCCATAATTTCCTATATCACAACGTCCCAACTTTCAAATATTAAATAAGAATTAAAGTTGAGCTGCGTATTTAAAATAAAAACAAACATCAATTTTCTTGCATAAATTTCAACCAACCTTTAAATGCTCATAATCGACACCGTAATCTTCGCTCATTGCAACTTGTAACTGCTCGTTAATCCATGCCTCTAAATCCTGACTTTCTCGCAAATACTGATATAAGTAGACGGCATTTTCAAGTTGCTGCCTTCTTTCATCTGCCAAATTTGAAAGTGTTTCAAATTCTTTTTCCAGTTCCGTTTGCCTCGTAACAAATCGTTCATTGTTTGACCGATTCGAATTCTCTAAGTCCTTACACTGAATTGCTAGTTTCTGAAGCCATTGTCTAAATAATAAACATTAAATGTAATCTTAGTTAAACAAATGAAAATGACACTGCTTCTTATAGATTGATAAAGGTACCTTTTGTCACATCAGCGCTTTTTCAAGAGTAAAAGATCTACATGAGTAAGTAGGTGAAGTACAAGATGTTTTACAAAGCTCCTATTCCCACCATAAATGTACTTGTTAAAGGATATTTTCACAATTCACTCTACTAACCAACCTCTTCACAAATAGGCATATATGCAAAACCTACTTATATGTAACCATATCAGCTTGTAAAGCTTTATGTTTAGCCAATAACTTTTGCGCTGCATCTTCATCCTGACCATAATCTTCTGATGTTAACGCTCCTCGCTTCTCATTCATCCATGAATCGACCTAAACTCGTTTGATTAAAAAGGTGAATAGAAAATTTTGTAATGATTCACTAAAGTTGACAAACAGTTGAAAAAATGTGCAATCTCATGAATTGCATCACATGAAAAATACGATAAGGTGGAAAAAGTACAATCCGTTACCTCGGCTGCATCAAACATGTATTGTTCTTCTTTCAACGCCCAATCCAGCAAATCCTTCCGCTTTCGCATTAAATTATTCAAATGTGTTAAAGCATCAGAAAGCTGCAATAGAAAAACTAAATAATTAAAAATAAAAAAGATACTTCGCCTCGAAACATCGTAAATATAAATATAAAATATACTATAGAAATAAATAGTACCTGTTCATATTTCGCGCGTATTTGTTCCTGGGCATAATGCTTTTCCTTAATAAGATTACTACCACGATCCAGTGTCTTCTTAATATGAGGTAGTCGTGACGCCACTTCTGCCTACAAATTTGAAAGTCTTGCCCTTTAAAATTTGAAAGATAATTCTGATAAACAACATGAAAGGAAAAACAGAAAAAAATAACATGTTAGAAAACAGAAAAACGACATGAACTGTGAGAAAATGTTCTATAAAAGAAGAAAATTAAAAATATATTAGTTAGTGAGAAAAGAAACTATTAAACAAAAAAGTGCAACAACTCTTAATTAACTTCTTAACTAACTGCAATAACTTCGTATTATGAATTAAAGATAAAGTATCTCTACTACATGAGCAATCATCGAGAATCTCTACGTAACTTCATCAACATTACAAATGTATCTAGAAAAATGGATTAACCTCCAACTGTTCATGTTTTTTTTGCATATTGGTGGTTTCTGTAAGAGAGCGGCCAGTTTCTTCCGATGATGCAATCGGAACTTTCTCCGAAATCCAATGCATTTCACAGTCTATATCGAACGACAATTGATGCCATTTCAAGCTTTCTTCTAACGCCGTCCGACGATCTTTGGCTGGTTTTTTCTGTGATTCAAACCTGAAAATTCTTTTTATCAGCGTAACGAAATTATGCAATTCCTGAATTTTCAGAGTAACTTCAAAATAAAACTCATTCGTGGATAAGTGAAACGTCCACGAGTCCTTGGCAAGGATTTCATCAACCTGAAATTTTTTTAACCTGGTGCCTAAATCTGAATCGAAAACAAAGACGTATGACCTGGAATTTTCATTCTACTTCGAAAATGAAAACGATTAAAGTTTATATTAAATTTATGAAACCATGAATAAAGAGAGCATCAGAATTAACCTTTCAGTCAATTTTTGTACGGCCTTTTTTATGGTGGCAGAATCGAAATGTCCCTGTTGTATCATAGCATTTGCTTTCTCTGTTATTTCAACAACTCTTTTCTCGAAAACAGACATTTCCTTTTCTATAACAACCTGTTTGTGAATAAGCTCCTTTACGCCACGCAAATCAGATCCCAAATCTTTCGAATTCAAAGATGCTTGTATTTCATCTAACTTCAAATGCGCATCATCCAGGGCACTATTCAGCCCTTTTTGATCTTCCGCTTGTCTCAAACATTCTCCTTTAGCATTTGCTGCGTGTAAAAGATCAGACCATTCCACATTTACACCGTCTAACAATTTCCGAATGGATTTCGATTCATAGTGCTGCGCTGCTATAAGCGCATTTCCTTCCTAAAAGAAATAAAAGTTAACGGTGAAAGAAACCAATCACTGCTTATTCGAACTTATAGCACTCCTCAAATTTCATTAAAATATACATACATCGGACAAATAACTACTAATTCACATATCTTATCAATTCAACATTCAATAATGCTGCTGTGTATACATTTTGGAGCCATTATGAAAATTACTCAAGCTAATGACAATTCCTTTCTCCTGAACTTTACCATATTGACTTTACTGAAGTTCTTCCTTTAACAGACCAAAAATTGTCTATGAAACATTAACATAATCAAAAACTTAAGAGATCAAAACAAAATCCAAATTTACCGCATTTAATTCGTCTAAACGTGCAGCATTTGCTTTCAATTCCGCCTCAAATGCTTTGTGTTTCAATAATTTCATAGTAATAGATGCTATGTCCCGGTAAGAATCATCATTTGCAATCTTCCTCTTTTCCGCTATCCATTGCGATAACTCTTGAATATTTCGGCGTAAATTCTGATACTGAAGTGATGCTTCTAGCTGTACACGACGCTTTGCCGCTGCTTGATGGACTAACGATCGACGAGCCAAAACATCATCACGGCGCTGAAATTTAAAACAACTTTTGCATTAATTGAGATAAGCGCTATACTCTTGTTTTTAAATCAAATGAAAAAAAATCTAGTTATCGAATAAATAAATAAATGGAAGCAAAGAAAGTAATATACATGTAACAATGATTAAATTAAATAATGTATTACATTCACATAAATTATTTAATAATTTTTCGTTCAATCGAAATGACAAACTCTCGATTTATCTATTGAAAGCTGAGTAAAAGATTTTTAAAGTTTTTCGGAAATGATTAGTTGCATATTTAAATTAGAATTATAAAATTCAAATGAAAATTAAAGTGTGGGGGATGACCAAGCAATGAAAAAACCTTTTTAATGAAATCTGCTTCGCTATGTTTTGCCTGAATCAGCTGATCGGCACCTTTCGCGAAAACTTTCAATCGATCTTCCTGGGCCCGAAGCTTCGCTTCGAAGTCCGAATGGCGCTTCAACAAATTTTCAGCTGTTTCTACCGAATCCTGAATTGATTTAAACAAAATTCATAATAGCGAGGAAATCTACTGCATTTTGCTATAGTAGAACGAAATTATAAGATAGATTGATTGTAACTCCAAAATTTTGATAACCAAATTAACAATATTAATCTTAAAAAATTATTTAAAATGTGACAAAATACCCCAAGATTGGAAAGTTCCAAAAAAGCTTCATGTCCTTTTGTTGCTGCATCAATTCTTTCCGCTTCCGTGTTTAGTAGTTGCAAATTCAAAAGTTCTTTCAGCCTTCGCTCTTTTTCTTTCCATAAAGCATTAAGTGTCTGCTGTTCGGCGTCCAATTTTTTCAAACTTCCCCTCACCTGAAAAATAATATTTCACACATCACTATTCCAAGTCTCTTTCATCAAACATCAACTGTAGTTGCAATCGAACCTAAATTTTAAAGTCCAATTATTATCTTAAAATTTTCTAATACTTTCGAACTTTTTAAAAGACTAACGATAATGAAATCGTTATTTGATCAATAAGTTTCTAATAATTTATCAAATAGCCTTTCCTCTAATTCAAAGTAGGTTATTTGAATATAAAAGAGGATATATTTGAAATCTTTAATCCCATCTCCCAAGTTCCCAAAATTGGCAGACAAACGTCGTTGAGTGCAGGATTTTTTTGCAACAAGCGCTGTCCAAGTTCGCGCACGTAATCGAATTCATATTTTTTGCCATTTATGTCATCGTTAAGCTCATAATGCTTCTTCAGTAGCTCCTCAGCTGATGAAACATCTACTGGTCGAGTATTATCAACAAGAGATAACTTTGTTTTGTCAATCCATATCTGCAAATTCCTGAAAAAAATTAATTTGTGAATGGATGAAATTTTTCGCAAAATATGACTTCATATCGTATTGCACTGTGAGTGAGATATTATTTTATATTATGTGAAAGTTTGGAAGTATAAAAAGGAATGCGGAGCTTTGAACAAGAAAGCATTATAAATTAGCTCAACTGAAATTTTAACGGAATATAAGTTTAAAAAGCATTACTTTTATATCGAATAAGATCAGTTAAATTATAGCAATGACATTAAAATATATTCAATCATTTGTCAAGGTATCAAAATCATATTTCGAATACTTATAGTGTTCCGCAATTCAAAGACAAAACATACTTCACAGCACCATCGAACATCTGATGTCCTTGTGTCTGTTCAGCTTCTTCAATACGTGCAGCTGATTTTTGCCGCAGTTCATCATGCATTTTAACCAAATCCTTGATCATCTGTTCAATCCTAGCAGCTTCCTCAGGATGTTCTTTCTTCACCTAGAAACAATTATTAGTTCATTTTCAAGATTTTTAACTAGATCTTTCCAAAAAATTCAAATGCTTGACAAATTACAGGAACTAAAAAAAGTGAATATGTGTTAGAGATTTCTGCATAGTTATGAGATCATATTTTGTCAAAAGAAATCTATACAACAAACCTCATCTGCAAGCTTCTGCAAGAAACGGATCTTCTCCTCTAGAGGTTTAAGATCTTTTCCCAAATTTTGATAACGTTTTTGAATTGTCTGAACAGCTTTCGGATCATTCATATCAACTTTATGTTCAAGTAAATCAAATTTATCTTGCATCCATGATCGTGCGTCTTTACATGTTTCATTAAATGCTGCAACTCTTTCGGCTGCTTCCTGAAATGATTATAAATGAAATGCTGACAGATAAAATTAACATGCTACAACTGCATTGCTGACTTTCACTATCTTTAATTTCTGGTGTTAACTCCTTGATTCAGTGCATTCATGCACTGGCTATAAAGGTTCAACATTTTACACGGATATTACACGTACTGAAGCAAGAAACAATATTTAACTCAAACTATATCATTTTTTTATGAAAAACTGATAAACATCGACAGTAATGCTATAAGTGCACGAAAAATCTAAGAAATACTTCAGACTTGATTTCAAATTTATTACGAACTTATTATTACAAAACTAAAAAAACTCGTCTGAACCTAAAAAAAAATATAAATTTATATTAGAAATTGTTTGCTAATCAAATTAACTTACAAGTTGACGTTGCTTTATCTTTAAAAGATCCCGTATTTTATTCCAAAACAAATTCGCTGCATTCTGACGTCGTCGAATTTCATCACTATGGCTATGACCTTCATTAACTAATTCTTCGGCAACATCATTAATTCGTTTTATCTGTATCTTACCATTCGCGGTGATTTCATTTTCAAGTTTCTAAAAAAAGCAGATAATTAATTTTAAAATTTAAGAAAAACATAAAGCTAATATTTTACATAATTGCCTTCATATAACGTTAAAAGATATCGAGTTATCAACATGTTTCAAATTGAGTGAATGCCAAAGAGTAACAAAACTGTTTTCGAGATAATGATTCAAGATACTAAATGATCTGTGTACAGTAGCTGTAGCAATACTTTACTAATTACATGCATCGATTTGTGTCATAAAAATCATTAATAGCTCATTTTTAACTTAAATATTCATTTAGTTGACCTAATATTATGTATACAAGAATTTTTCCTCAACTTACATTAAATTTCTTCCGCGAAGCCTTAACATTATCTGAAGTTGCGTTGTCAGCGAGAGCTGTTTCTGTCTCTTTTACCCAAGTTTCAAATTGGTCACATTCACGTAAGAATTTGTACAGTTTAATTATGTCACTGAGAAGACGCCGACGTTCCTAAAATCGAAAAAATATCCGATTCAGATAAACCAAAATGTTAACAAGGAATTATGGACTGAATTTCTAGAGATTGAATTATGAAAAAGGAAACAGAACATTGAGTCAAAAAAAAAAATCAAAGAAACATAGGCCCAAAACACTAATATTCGAGAGCCATTACTCCAAGAATACTTATGCAAAGAAACTGTTCCTTTACCTCAGCTAAATTATTCAGATTTCGATAACAAGCACTTATGGCTTCTTGGCGTTCGATGATGGCATTTCGGGAACCCTGTGATTCGCGTTCTGTCTTACGAGTAATTGTTTGTGCAACCGTTACTGTTTCACCTTCCACAACTTTACAATAATTTGCGGGTACATAACCCTCGATTCCATCTTGTTTCAGAATACGCCACCAATCATTGTTTGATTTTTCGATTAGTGCCAATATCTTGAAAATTTAAAAGTGATCTCATTCTCCCCGTTGTTGACTTTCTCCTTAAGGTAATATTCAATGTCCCAATTCTCCAAATAAAATCTTTTAATGACGGATTATGCAAAGAGTGCATAATGGTTAGTACTACTGCGTTGATAGTTTATATCTAGAGCATTCCTGGTAGGAAATAACAATCATTTAATGGATTTCTTTTTATCTTTCAAAAGCCCAAATAAATTTTAAAAATTTTCAAAATCATTTTAAAATTTATATTTAAAAAAATGAAAGGATTAAATAAAAAGTGAATAAATGAAATGAATAAATAAAAATCAGTGCCTCTTTAATCATTTACTAAAGTAATATAAAATTAACTGAATCAAATCATTCAGCAAGTAAATTACTTCACCATCTAACATTGCATAATTCAATATTTCAACAAACAAAAATACTGCTAAAATGAAGAAAATGAGCAATGGTACTAACCTCATCTTTTTTAGCTTCAATATTATTTCCAGAGTAAGTGTATAACATTTTCACTTGAGGCACAATAAGTTCTTCGGTATCTTCTTCGACACGTACAACAGCACCCGCAATGAATTCCGTATTAACTAACTCTCTTGCCATCTCTTCAAGTTTTATTATATCAGCTCGATAAGCTTGGATTTCTTCTTCCAAACGTAAATGCCTTTAATTAAAAATATTAAGTATTATTAAACTGAACGATATTATCAGTAATAAAAACGGGAAACAGTGAGATGAAAAAAGTTAACTGTTTATAAAAGTATTAAAAATAAATTAAATTTGGTAACGAATTTACAATGTAGAAAAAAGAACTTACCTTGATAACAGACTTTCTGATGCCTGTTCATCACGTCCATAATCACTACTTTTGACTAGCGGCATTTTCTCACGGATCCAACTTTCTGCTTCATTTGCATCCTGGAAATATTGGTGAGCTTGTTCAGCTTCACGAAGCCATCTTCCAACCGCTTCAACCACCTAAAAAACTGCATATTTGTTAAAAAATATATAACAAACACAATAGACCTGTAATTCATTTTTTCCCGGTACTTTTCCATATCAAAGTTTTTTATTAGAAAACTTTCGTTAAGATTTTCAATGATACGTATTTGCAATGTAGCTATAATTTGTATTATTAAATATTCATAAATTACATCAATTTTGTCTAAAGTAGCAAACCCCGGAAATGATGTTTTTTGAAAATTTCCAAAAATTTCAAAATTCCACCCACTTTTCTCAGCTGCTCCCATTTTGCGTGTAAATTGTATATTCTTGTTTGAATATCCTCTTTATTTTGACCCGTTGCTACCAGTCGTTCACCAGCTGCAATCACTCCTTTTGCTCTCTGCCAATGTCCTTCCATTTCGGTTTCCAAATTCTGAAATTAAGAAAAATATGTACGTATGTTTATTTCATCAACTAACTTATTTCAAGGATTTTGCAATGTAAAAAAATTACTGAAGGGTTACGAAAAAAGTGAAATTTAGATCGATAATATTAAAATATTCACCTTAAAAATACGCCTTAATTGGGCAGTAGCTGAAAGATCCCTGTTTTTGAGAAGCGAAATACACAAATCTTCTTTCTCCTGTAACCAACTCATTTCTTCTTCATCATCTTGGATAAAACGATACAAATCACGAGCACGATACAACATTATTCTGCGCTGCTGGCATAACTGTACAACACTGTAAATGCAAATATATTATCAAGAATATTTTTAACACTTAATTGAACTGCCTCAAAATATCAAGGTTAAAACTATAATGATTTCTATATCACAATTTACTATAACATGTTTCGGAATTCATTTACCTTTCATAAAGGCTGCTCACATCGTCTAACTTCTTTTGCAACACATCATACTGTTCTCCTTTTCCCCGAATATAGTCAAGTGCTTGGGATGTCACATTTTTCAACAATTCCCCTTGTGAATTAAGTTGCGCTTCGAGAATCTCTTGTTTGCCAAGCAAATCCTCAACTCCTAGTAAATGTTTTCCAACATCGCGACTTCGAAATTGAGGCTAAAAATGTAGTTAATGCAGAGGAAAAACTCAAATGCAGTAGGATGATTAATCTATAATACCATCGTGAGATTCACTGCAAAGATAACATCAATAAAGCATATTCGTTAATACCAGAAAGATTTTAATAATGAGGAAAATTATCCCAAACTGAAATTTTCACAGATAATAGTCATAGCAAATGAATCTCACCTCTAATGCACGTATCTCCGATGATAGTGTATCTATATCCCGAAGTAAACCCATCAGATCACTTAATGATAAAAGCGCACGACGTCGTGCCTCTAGAGCTGCTAGCAACTGTGACCATTTATCCAAAAGCTCACGTTCGCGTATTCGGATTTTATCGCAATCATGATAATTTTCCTTTGATAGCTCAACAGCCATAAACGACAGAGACTTAAACCGATTTTCCTAAAATGGCGATTTAAAGATTTTTCTCTATTCAGAATTCATTTAATCTTCATAAATTTCACTATTTTTAAAGCAGTTATAAGTAGAAATTTGAATGACAATAAAGCAACACAACTACAATTACTGCTACAGAAATAACTGCAGAAGAATAACAGAAGAAACAGAATAACGAACTCTAGGTAGGATATCGGCAGCAATAGCTTGTTGTTTTTTCAGTGAAGCTTCAACTTGAGCAATATTTCTACCTAAATCAAAATCTTGTAAGACAGAACTCATCTCACGTAACCACGCATCTCGTAATCCTGCTTTGCGCTCGAACTTCTGCGCCATAAGTTCCAACCTTTCCTGTCTGAAAATTTTACTTTTGTATTTTTACTAGCTATAACGATGGGCTTTAGCTAAAATGGAATTAAATCCTTCAAATTATTTAAGCCCTTAGTTTAATTCAATTCAAAAATAAATATTTTAATTTAAAACTTTATAATGGTCACCATCAAAATTTCTGCATGAAGAAAAATATCAAAGCAAGTTAACTTCTATTTAATTTCTTTCATAAAAGCTAGAAGTTCAAAAAAAACACAACCAACCTCCGCAATTCCATCATAAGGGCCAGTTGTCTGTCATTTTCAGAGTGATCCAAAAGTGCCCAAGATGATTCGATATCATGCATAAACAGACCTAAACAATCGTAGCTAAGAAGCTAACAAATATAAATATATCAAATATATAACAAATATATCAGAATTTTTGCTAAAGATATTCTTCAAATTTGTACGAACTTTTGATAACTCTAATAATGAATGATATCTACTTAATTAGATTACTATAATGCTTAAAAATACCTGCTGGAGGAATATACGGTTTCCTTCCCATGGCCTTTCTCTTTGTTTGTACTGTGAAAAACAAAGCTTCCAATTCTCCCTTCTCCTTGTATCTAAAATGCTAATCTGTTAGATGCAACGGTATTTATGAATAACATAATAAGTCACTGTTTTACAATACAGAATCTAAAAATTTGAATTTAAAGTCATCTCGACAACAAAAAGAAAATAATATAGCTCTACAGAAGTATTTGAGATAAAAAGTACAATGAGTCATTATCATGAAAAAAATTCCGATAGAAACACGCACTTTGGTGGTTTTTCCACAGTACGATAATTTTTGAATGCCAATAATTCATCCTGAATTCCTTTCAGCGAATTTGGAAATTTTCGATCGTTCAACATTGCAATGGTTTGCTGTATCCAAAGAAGCAATTCCGAACATAGCGCTTCATAATCTTCTTGAAGTTGATCAGAAGACAACAGACTACCGACAATCTATAAATAATGAAAGACAGAATACGACGAATATTTCAATTATTATTACATGAAAAATAAAATAAAATAGAGTATTAAGCTTTGTTCTATCATGCATATCCTACAACAGTCTTTTTTCTTTTTTGCAGATATATTTCATACGAGATACTTCACAGAGAAATCATAAGAATGCAAGTTTGAGAATGCATAATCGGTTAAAATAAAATTAATCTGAAATAATCTGAGATGAAATTAAAAATAAAATGAAATTAGGTTAAATTATTACTAAAATTTAAATAATATAAACGAATGATCACAATTACTCACCTTAGCAACTCGTCTTGCACCAGTCATTTCTGTTTTTTGCTTTGCAAAATGATGATAGTAAAGTGAAACGTAAGTAATGATAGATTTTTCATCCGGATGAGCAACATTAACATCTTCAGCATCTAACAAACGTGCAATATCTAGCTTTTTCTCTGCCACATCAAAAGCATTATTTAAATTTCCAATCGCATCTTGTGGTGACAAACTTTCGTAATTGATCAAATCTGGCCTTAAATTACCATTATCAATCCAACAATTCTAAATAAGAGTATGAAAATGCTATCTGCAATGTTGCAGTTATTTAAACTAAATTGTAAAAGATAAACATACAACAAAAAAGTTCTTGAAGGAGACATTGTTAGTGTGGTAAGTTGTTAGCAATGAATTGGAAAAGTTATTGAATTTAAACAGTATCTTATTTTAATTTTCTTTTTTTGATGAATAAATATATTATGCTAACCGATGAGCATGAATCAATGCATTGAATGCTAAACCATTACGCCATGAAGTGGTGAAATTTTCAATTTTAGAATTCGCATAACCAGATGTTTTTCTTTGGCACCATAATAAAAGTGCTTCCTTCGCATGTTTCCTTTCACCAGATTCTTCGTCCATCTGAAATATCACTTTTCCATAAGTAGTTTCAAAAGTCAGTCTTATATCGTATTAATTTAAAAAAATTTTTGTTAACAATAAACATCATTTCTCAGGTGTTATATGTAACAATTAGCATATATTTATTAATTCACCGGGATGGAAATCGTATCAATCTGGAAACGAAGAATGATCGTCCAAATGAGACCAAGAATAAGCCGTTCATTTCGATCCAAAATATCTTCTGCACCAATATTTTCAAGCTGTAAAAAACTAATTTCAGGAATTTCATGTAATAATTAATGCTTTAATTTCAAACTAACTAAAACACTCCAAGCACTGATTTTGACAATTCTCGTCTTTTTTTTTTAAATAATTAAACATTCTTCAAATCATTCTCTTCCGCTGACTTCATTAATGACAATTATGTATTAGATTAAAGTTAGTTGCTCAGAATACAAAGATTTAATTATTTTTTACGACACTATTGATAGATTAGAAGATATTAATTAATTAAAAGATAATAATTTATTTTATGACGTATTTCGAAGCTCATTAGCTCATTTCAAATAGATCCAGTTGAAATAAAAAACGAAAATAAGATAAAAATAAAGATGAATAAATCAATATGAAATATATGATAGAAACGATGAACAAAATTACATAATGAACAAATTAGATGAGATTTCACCATAAATCTTTTTGAAATTAGCTAATCATTTTCAAAATATGCACTAAATTGCATAAAATATGTCATAAAATATTATAAATCCATTAACAAAAATTATTCCATATGTAATCATCAACATAGATCTATTAAACGTTCTACCATATATTTCATATCGATTTATTCCTTCAGGGTACAACCTGAAGGAATTAAGAATGTTTCACATTGGAACAATGATATGTATCAATTCTAGTTTTAGCAATAATTATCATTTAGTATTCTAAATCATCAACAAAAATCATTCCGTAAGTAATCATTTCCTAATGCAGTAGTCATTCTCCCATTTTCGTAATTAGAATAATATAAATTATATTCGATTAAAAGTATAGAAACATTTTTAATGATAATTGCCTTAAAAACTTCACCTGAATTCGATTTTTCTTCAGGAAATCGAGTGTTTTATTAAGATTTTCAATTTTTTGTACTCTCATTCGACCTCGATTTGGTTTGCCGAGCTTTTCGCCCGAAATAATCTCTAGCAATTTCATCAGCAATATTCCATCTCCAAGATCCACGAATAAATCAACGATTTCGAGTCGTGCCTGAAAATAATCATTATTACTATCAGTAATACTAGCATGACTAAAATTACCATGTAATATTACTACAAGTAGTAGTAATAATTTTACTGTTATAACCGTTTGCTAGTGTTATATGATTTCACTTTTGTAAACAGAAATATTCATATAATACAGAATTTTAAAATCATCAATTTTTAATTTTTAATTTTGATTTTGGATAAAGTATTACATAATATTAAGCTGATGGCAAATTTCTCACTAAATTATTAAGTAAAACAATTAATCTCAAAAATTAGACTGATTACAATTGAAATAAACATGCAAAAAAGTACCGTTAATCTCATTATGCGATGAATTTTTTTTAAAGTTCAGGGAAAGTATAATTCATCCAATTTTGGATGATAAGCAAATAATACGTTTGTAAGTAAAATTATAAAAAAATTCAAAACTGCGATCGCTTATTGACAGATTCATTATGCTAATTCAATTTATTTAAAAGCAATGCAATTTAAATAAAAAATGCATTTATGAAGAAAATAACTTTGGTATAATAACTTCGCTTTAAATATTTGATAAACTCCTTTATTTTTTAGAATAACATAAACAATCAAATGAACTCCAAAAACTCCTCGGATCATAATTAACATCTTGCCAGCAAAATTGCAAACTTCTTACTCATATAATTTCGTAGGGATGATATATTCTTCGAGAAACAATAATAGATTTTAGTAATGATGTTTATAAAATTTAAATGTTACACCATCGTTTGTGTGAATTTGTCAAAATTGTAACTTTGCTAAGACGTTACAATCTTTGTGAGAGAGAAAAGTTAATGGTGCGGAAAAACTTTTTATTAATGTAATACCGTTTTGAATATTGCTTCATTTATTTTTGCTTTTGAAATCATTTAAATCAAATTTCAAAAAAAGCATCAGAAAGCTAGTTTACGACACTGAGTAATTTTGTATTTAAATTTTGATATATATAAAACAATAAACGTTGTTTTATAATTACTTGGTAATAAAAACAAAAGCAATGAATTTATTAAAGTTTTGAATTTTCACAAAGTCACTACAATTCTATTCTATCACTCTTGACTTACTAGAAATAAGACTTACTTAGTCAAATAAATCTTTCTTGAATTATTATATTTGAAATATTGCATAAAAAAGACGCAACTGTTATTTTAATCAAAAAATTTAAAAGATATAAAATCCTAAATAATAACATAAAACAAATAGCAATCAATCAGAGATTGAAAGCTATGAAAAAATTCAAAGAAAAACTTGAAAACTTACTCTGCCCAAAAATGAATTACACCATTTGGTAAATGTTTTCTTCTGAATATGCACCCGTTCATCCTGTAACTGCTTGATACGATTCCGTTCGAATGATAATGTTGGATCACTGAATTCATCATACTCATCTGATAATAACTGTGACTGATTTCTTTCAAATTCATTTTTGTTCACTCGTGGAACCTGAACCTATAAAGAAAAAGAAATCTCAGTGGAATAAATTTAAATTATTACATTTATGAAAATTCAACTCAATTAAAAACAATTACACATTTAAACAATGTATCCATCAATTCTACTGATAATTAATGGTTTAATTTAGCTAATCGATTATAAAAAAAAAACAATTACACTTATAACAACTTGATCTCACCTTTTCAGCATTAGTAATAAATCATAATTTAGTGTAAAAAATAAACAATTACAAATTTGAACATACTTGTATTTCATATTTCGGCATTTTCTTCTCTGATTCTTAATAATGTTCCAATTGCACCATATATTATTATTTTTCTATTGGTGATGAAATAGTAGGAAGCTGACAAAATTAATGATATACACACGATACTGTTATAATTCAACAAATGAATTCACTATGAACGCTATAAACGAATCAATTAATTGATAGAGTAAATTAGATATAAAATAAGTTTACTTTATAAGTCTAAGAAATATAGTCTTATAATTAGAACTATCTATCTATTCATTAAAATTCTTTTATGTATAAAGGATAGATTGTGCGATATGAACTGATATGTTAATGAGGACAAGTTATTTGGAGAGAGGATGAATGCGACAATTGACAACAGTAAAAATCACCAGGCAAAACTAGTGAAAGGGGCAAAATCCGTGTAGATGAGGTCAAGGTCCCCGTAAAGCCTTTCACTTCACATACATTCACATACATACGAACATATCTACATACACATACACACATACACACGCACATACATACAGACATACACATACATATACTCTCTTCCTTGAACATATATATATATTTATTAACATAGCAAAGTCAATCGTCCCGAAAGGAAATTCCTTTCACCTCAATGGCAAATACATAATCGTTTATTATTAAATGCATTGGTCAGTTGTCATGTGATGATCAGTCATTGAAAATGCATTCTAAAATATGTATGATAATTGACTATTTATATTTATACCATTTAAACAATCTATTCTGCATTATTAACGTATGCTTTAATATTATACAATAAATGATACAGTAAAAATTATTTCCTAACACATTAATTGCAATCAATATAAGATTTTTTAAGTATTACACTTTGAACATCAAATATCTCTTAAATAAATCTCATAACATATATCTATAATTTATAGTAAAGAAAAAATTACTATCAAATAAACAGATACATAGATATTGATGAAATTCATTTCAGGAATATTTTATTTAATTTCAATCAATAGAACTATTTTTTTAATTCTCCATATTTCATTGTGATTTTAAAACTTTATAATATATTCATATCACTGCTAAAACTATTTCTGTTAATGCAAATACCCTATGATATATATATATAAAGTTGGAAGTTAATAAATTTTAATTGAAATTAAATAAAAGTAATAGGTAAAAATTTAATGATTTGAAATACTTTCATAAATTGTAAAGCGAATTTATATAATTTAAAGAAATCGCTAAACAATCATGTTATTAGAACTTCTTATTAATCATATTCTATACCAATCATATAGAATTCTATTAATTCTATACCAATCATATAGAATTCTATTTAATTCGTAATTTAAATATTCCCTTATCTGATGACTAATCAAATAAATCAATAAATTTTTTGCATAGTTTATCAAATATTTTGCAGAATTTTATTAAATGAATAACTTTGTCTCCTACCCTCTCTAACTATTATATAATCCATTCACTAATAAAATCATCTAACTGAATACTATCAAATTTACAAATTTTAAAGCAATAAAAATTCTGTGTAAAAATTAAAAGTATACTAATATAAATAAATGTACATATGTTGTAGAATTGTTAAATCTTTTAAAAGAAGTGAAAGATTTTTTTCAAATACACCAAAAATCACTATGACAAATAACTTCTTCGGCAGTAATAATACTGCACTGTAGATAGTTTCTCTTTCTCTCTCTCATCTTTATTTCTGTAAAATACTAATTGTAATAAAATATCTTTCACCGAAAAAACGAATTGATTGATAGAAATGATAAACTTCAATCATAAATCTATTTCTTATCATTCACATGTAATTAATTGTAAGCTTTCAAGTTTAAGCATAAAATTAATAGAATAATTTGATATGATCTATTGCATATCATTCTTTTTTTAATTCTCTCCCTCTCTTTTAACAAGCTAAATTAATCATATATAGTTTATATCGTTAATTATATATAATTATATTGTTATGTACAAAAAAATATATAGGAATATGTGAAATAGATATGAATACTTTAATGTATCATTGGAATGTAATATTTAATTTGAAATACGATAATAAGTAAATATCTATTTTATGGAAGAAAAATGTTAAGAGTAAACAGTAATTGTAAGCAATAGGAAAAGCGAACCATCAACCGATCGATCAACCAACCGATCGACTGAGTGCTATCACTTATAATGTCAAAGCTCTTCCAATTCCTGCTTCTTTTCTATCAAATTCGAAATAATGTAAAATAATGTAATCGATCACTAAAATGCATATAATCATTCTATTCTATGGGGGACAATTTGTTCCAAATCATTGAAAATGAGAGGAACAAAAACGGTTCAATATCATTTTAAGAAGAAATGCAAAATTTACTTGGAAAGAGAGAGCAATCGCCAATTCTCTTTCTTCACTTCACTTCACTTCACTTTTTCATTCTAATCTCAAATTTCAACATCAAATTTCACATCGTCTGATTGAATTTCAAATTTGCATGAATCAAAATTACTACGTCCGATTTTTCTCTATACGATATGAGTGTAAATTCAGAAATATGTCCTAGCTGTGTTTACGAGATAATATGTTTATAGCATTTGTTGATTTCCCACAATATATCAATTGAACAATTGTATAAATTGTAAATTGATAACTTCAAAATAGAACTCTTCAAAAAATTATGTGAAAAACTATAGCAATGATATTTCGGTTTGTATGGGATAAATTAAAAAGAAGTGAAAATGAAAATGGCTTACTAAATTTGTAATCATTCTTTCTAAATATTGCCATAAAGTGTCATTTAATTCATCTAAAGATATCTGTATGATTTTGTTACTGAATAATCTCAACTCTGGCAATAAGCATACTTTAGGATTCAATGTTTATATGTTCAATGTTTAAAAACAATACAGTAATAGCTTATATAATTAGCAAAATTTATTTTCAGTATCCTAAAATGCCCAAATTGAAATGAAATTTAAATAGAGATAGTTTTAAAAATTTAATTATAAAATTTGCCAAAAATTCGATTGGAAATGCAAAAAAGAAAGGGAATTAAATGAATTTTTTCCTATTCATCATAAGTATTAGGAAAGCCAATACTATAACTACTGCTATTATCATTACAGCAATAACTACCAGTTCTATTACTACTAATATAACAACTACTACTGTTACAACAACAACTACAACTACAGTTACAATACGACTATAACCACCACTGGTATTTATCCAATCTTGAAATGATCTTTGAGCGAATGATAAAATGATATGATATTTGGGAGAAAGGACGTCATATTCAACCAGTCATCTTCTTGATCATTACAATTTGCGAGTTTAGCCATCTTTCATGTTATCATTAATGTTGTCATTCTTTGCTAAAATAAAATTTTCACTAAAAAACATATAAAAATCGATCAAGTATTCAAAAGTTATATATATATATTTATATGATGATATGAAAATTGTTATTTTCATCAATTTAATCACTTCATTAAAATATTGTAAATGTCAGTGTAATTAAATATATTATAACTTAATGAGAATTGATTGATTAATCAATTATCATGTAATCATCAATAACTTCAATAACATAATGCAACATCAACTCATCATTTAGTATCGAATAATCGAATTGAAGATGTATCTAAGAAAGAAGTAGACAATGAAAATGATTAATTAAACTATCAGATAATAGCATTACTGATATAATAAAGATAAAAGGATAAATTGGTAGTTGCAAAGATCGATATGTCAAAAAGGAGTAATAACCATCTATTGAAAATGATGAAGTGGACATTCAATAAACGCTTTCTTCATTTAAACGCCTTTCTTTCAACTGTTTCAACATAGGAAAATCGTATAACTGAAGAAAACATTGAACGAATCATATAGGTTTATATGAATGAGTCATAAATGATATTGTACGTACACTTTTACATCCTTCCCTATTTTATTGGCAATCAATGATTTTCGATTTTATGAATCATACAAAATATCATCACTGAAAACTTACAAATCGAATTTAACAACAATTCATTCATTCACCTAATCACACCTATATTCTCATCTACCTACCCATATAATTCATATAACATAAATACATGTATATAAATAATATATCCAAGCATGTATGTGTATAATAATAATAATACCTGCACATTTTAACATGTGTGCAGGTAATATTATACATATACGTGAGAGTTAAATTGTGATTGCACACCTGAATTGATTAGGATAAATGAAATGAAATATTTGCACATGCGTTCTATTCCGAAAACGATAAAAGTAACAATGTATGAGAACAAAAAAGAATGCTTCTGTTTGTTCACCCCCTAAAATCGAACATATTACCTTCTCAATGCGGATAATAACCATTTCAATCGTCCTTTCAAACTACAACCATCCGCCTATCTTTCTCCCTTCCTCTCTCTAAATGTGTCTCTGTCACCATCTGTCGATGTATCTCTTATTAATTATAACGAATAGTATATATGAAAATATGTTCACAGCGCTAATGAAGTTGTATTTCATTTAAATTGAATATTAATAAATGATAAGACTATATGGTAAGGTGAAAGGTTATGTTGGATCATCAAATTACATGATAAGATAAAAAGGTTATGAACAAATCATTCAAAAAATATGTGCTCCAATTAACAATGGAATAATTGAAAGTATGCATAATGAATAGAATCAATGAGTTAAATCTGTCTATATGTTTCCGTTTCAACTATTTAGCATATTGCATAATTTCCAGCAATATTTGACACATAACGAGACATTTGTCCTTCTTTCCAAACATTTGCATTTCGTAGTGACATGAAGTTAAATGTGAAATGTAAAATTAAATTCAATAAAACGAATGTTTGAGAACGACAAGAAAGAATGCGATCAAATTTACGATAAACTAACTTATTTATTCGATTATTTAAATTTAATTTATTATTCTAACACTTAATTATATAATTACAACTGATTGATTATATTCTTTTACTTTATTGATGAGATGTCGAGGAAAAAATGAATTCAAGTTAAA